AAAGAAAACATAAAGGCTTGACCAATAATTTATCAGCGTCTGAATTGACCTTTTGACCTTGAATTCCCTGATGCAAGCGCACTAATGACGTCAACTTCGCTAAATCGGTGTCTTTCATCGTAAAATGCTACACTTTCACAATGTTTATACATCTGTTTTAATTATTAGTAATATATAACATATTTTGTCTGATATCACTGAAGTTTTGGGTTTTATTTAATGAGTAATTTTTAAATAAGAGCCATTTTACTGTTTTAATTTACTGGATCGTACCATTAAAGTCGCAGGATAGAAAGATGCATTTTCCAACCGCGCCAAATTTAATTTACGTTCCGACATTCTGTTAAATGGGTTCGTGTTGTAAGAATCCACTGCTTTCTGCTCCACCAAACGTCCACATGCGGAGTCGTTTATCAACTAAATTATTCAAATTTATGGATGCTTCCTTCCCAGGTGATTGTGTTGTTGAGCATTTCATTCACCTGTTATCATTCTTTGTACTCCAATTGCCAAAACGCAAATTACATTTTGGTTTTAGTTTCATCGGACTAAATTATTCAAATTTATGAATGCTTCCTCCCCAGGTGTTTGTGATGTTTATGCATTTCATTCACCTGTTATTATTCTTTGTACTCCAATTGATAGAATACAAAATGCATTTTGGTTTTATAGTTTCATGCAATAAGTAAGTCAATAAAAGAGTATGTTCGGCACAATAAAAACAATGTGTGTCCCTATTGTACAATGTAATGTGTCCCCTCATTTTGTAATAGTTAATTTACCCATTCACATAATGGAACTACCTGCCCGATGAAGCCAGTGGCCCGTGACCCCTGAGCACTCAACATCGTGTGGGAGTCAGTTTGTGGTTAACTTCTTTTATGAGACAAATACAAGCAAACGTTTCCATATGCCCCTTCGGGCTGCCAAGTGAAAATGTGATGTGCATAGAAAAACGCTATCATACACTGTTGGTCATAATGGTGGAATAATTATTTTTACCCCAGTTTAGGGAAGGATTTAAAAAAATTATTTATTTCTAATAGATCTAGATAATGGCATACATTCTCAGATTTTATTGAATATTGATTTGCGAGTGTTTCTTTTGCGTGACTGCTAAATCATATGTGTGCTACTATGCTAATCAGCTAGGGAACCTACGTCCTTAAATCATAATTGACAGTAATGAGGATTAATGCCTCACAAAAGGGCAATTATATAGCTGATCGACACGATTTTTATCCTGGGGCCTCACAGTAACGAGGCCATTACTTAGCCCCTGAATCATGACTGTACGCAGTGTTTGCTAGGGTACGCGGCCGCCCCCACAAATCCCCCAAAACAAAGAAAATGCAATAAATTGTCAAAAATTCATTGCAATTTCCCCCCGCCCCCAACAGGAAAAATTTCTGTGTGTGGCCATGCCTTGAACCATAATGCATGGCCCTACAGAGGAATTTTTCCTGTTGGGGGCCGGGGGAAAATGCAATGAATTTTTGACAATTTATTGCATTTTCTTCGTTTTGGGGGATTTGTGGAAGGGGCCGCGTACCCTAGCAAACACTGCGTACAGTCATGATTCAGGGGCTAAGCAATGGCCTCGTTACTGTGAGGCCCCAGGATAAAAATCGTGTCGATCAGCTATATATCAGTGCCCTTTTGTGAGGCATTAATCCTCATTACTGTCAATCATGACTTAAGGACGTAGGTCCCTTAGCTGATTAGCATAGTAACACACATATGATGAAGCAGTCACGCAAAACAAATACTCGCAAATTAGTATTCAATAAAATCTGAGAATGTATGCCATTATCTAGATCTATTAGAAATAAATAATTTTTAAAAATCCTTCCCTAAACTGGGGTAAAAATAAATATTCCACCTTTATGACCAACAGTGTATGTCCAGACCCACACAGAATTAGTAGATGTTAGTAGATGCTAGGAAAACATCACTTGGTCAACCCCCCCCCCCCCCAGCAAAAAGATAGATCCGCCCCTGAAAACTAATATTTTACATGCTATACAGTACCGGTCAAGTCTTTGGTAATTGAAATATTTACATATGTGCCTAATTACACAAAATGAGTAGGTCTGAGTTAACAGAAGCTACTTTAGAGTAAGCATGGTTGAGGATTGAGGATATTGTGTAAAAATGGAAGGAAAATTCCAGAGACCAAGATGTCAACAAATCCCCACAATTCTCCTTATCTGAACCACGGGGGGATGACTACCATTCATACACCGAAATCGATATATTTGTTAACATACATTCATCTCCAAATAATATAACCAACATATATTTTTTTTAATGAGTTGAAACGTAAGCGGAGCAAGCAAAAGATTCATTCGTGTACAGTACGGAATATCGAAAATGCTCAATGCTAAAAAGAAATTTCTTGTACAAAACTAAACCCAAGTTACCCTACACAATGAAACGATGAACGAAATGGTGCTGATATGATTCTGTACAGAATAATATAAATGAAAAGTCATAAAACGGATTATCATTCATTCTAGCACCAATATTCTAAACAGCTGCAATGGAGTGAGTATTATTTTCGGCACAATTTAATGCTTATTTTGTCCCAAATTTTCATAATGATCTGGAATACATGAGGTCACCTATATCATTCAGTAATTACAGAGGTGTCGAGATTTACAAGCCTCCCTACACCATGACCCTTCTGAATTTTCCAATTATAAAAAAAATACAAAAATTCGCGACTTTTAATAGTACTTATACAATAAGATTTCTAAAACTCATTGGAAGCACATTTACTATACAAGAACGGAATAAGTATTGTTTAGTATAACAAATTTGATGATTTTTATTCATGATGAACAAAATATCAAATACTTAATACGCGTTCTCTATCATCTCTTGCTAACGGTTATTATGATATATTTTGTACCTTCTGAGGATTCTCCTTGATCAGAGCCGTATCATGGGGAGAACTACACCAGATGTTAAATTCGCATCCTTACCATTAACATAACTGTGTACCTAATATTTCCAATAAGCCTACATAAATGTACCCATCAACAAAATGGAGACTAAAAGTAGATTAACAAATGATAATGATCTCATAATTTAAATTATATCAGCAGTAAGATAATACTTCACAACATTCATTAATACTATTTCAGTCAAAACACCCGCAATAAATTTTGCTGGGATTATTGCGCCAATATATATTTTTAAAAATAGATAAGACTTACCTTGGGTGTCTCTTTAAAATTTCTGCCTCAAACCAAGTCCTTTAATGATGCTGTATAATCGCACAAAATGCAGTAGATATTATATATTATTATTTATATAAGGCTTCCAAGTGGTACAATAAATCACTGAATTCAATGTCGTTTGCGCACTACTCGGATGACTGACTAATATTGTTTTCGTATCGCTCAGTCATCCGGAAACTTCATCTAACGATATCGGTATCGATATCACACACAAAAAAGGCATATTACCGAGGTAAGTCAAATTTCGTTATTTCGCTAATCAGCCTGATATAGATAATAATAATAATAATAATATATTGCTTTGTTTGCGCATGATACAAGAATATATTTCTCTCGCTTTGACATTATTGGATCGTCTGCGACTCGTTCTATATTGTCATAGCTCGAGCAATTTATTCTTGTATCACACTCAAAGCTATGCAATATTATATGAATAATACTGCGAGCGATATTTACAGAAGAAAAATGGATTCCGGTTGTGGATGGAGTGAGTGATTTTATACTGACGTATTCGAGCAAATATTTTGATGAAATGGAATGCATTGGGTAATGACGAATAAACATTGGACGGATGATCAGTGTAGTGGGCGACAGACCTGCGGTAAATTCATCTTTAATAACATATTGATATATGATTCCGGATGTATCATATTCATCCCCATTTGGTTCGATTTCAAAATTCTATAGAAGAGGTTAATTTAATTGTTTACCCAGGGAGTTTCCAATCCGAACTCACTGATTTACCACTACCTCGGATTCGTGTATGTATGAAATGTTGCAATCTCCAGAACCCTCCCGGCTCACCCTCTTTCTCTCTCTATCTCTCTCCCTCCCGCTTTCTTGTCTCCATTCCTCTGTCTTTATTGGTCTCTCTCTCTCTCTCTTTTCGTCCCTCTCATTTTCGTATCTCTATTGCCACCCTACACTTCCTTTTCTTTCTAGGTCCCTTCATGTTAGAGATTCCTGGTCTCTCTCTCTCTATCTCTTTCCCTTCTCCCTGTCTCTCTGTCTTTCCCTCAATCGCTCTGTCTTTCTTGGTCTCGACCCCCCTCTCTCTCTCACTCTCATCCCCCCTCTCTCTCTCTTTCTCCCTATCTTTCTCCCTCTAATCCCTCATCCTATTTTTTTTTCTTGCAATTTATCTGCCTTCCTATGTGTGTCTCTCTCTCTCTCTCATTCTTTATTGATTTCTCCCTCTCTTTTCCTTGATTCCCCTGTCTCTCTTAGTGTCCCTATTCCTCTCTTTCTGTCTTTCTCTTCATTCCTCAGTCTGTTTTGGCCTCTCTATCTCTATCTTTGTCCCTCTCTTTATCTTATCCTCTAGTTTTAGCTTTAATTCCTTTTTTTTTCTTTTCTTGTTTTGTGAGCATGTCTCTGTCCCTCTCCTTCTCTCATCCTCTTTTCTTCCCTCCATTCAGCGGCGGATCCGGGGGCCCGGCTCCCTACCGTGGGAAAAACATGTAAATTATTTGTTAATAAAGAAAGGCCCCCTCGACTGGTGCTCAAGGGGAGAGGGGCGATTTTCAAATTTTGGGGGCAAAAATAAATAAATTAGTGCTCCCCCTTATTTACCGGCTGGCTGTTTCGTCGCTCATTAATTTCTCACGAAGTGGGCCCTCTCTTTGGCTCCCTCCCCTGTCGTCGACTGGATCCACCCCTGCCTCCATTCCCCTCTCTTCAAAGATGTCTACTCTCTCTCTCTCTCTCTCTCTCTCTCCGTGGTCAAGTTAGTGATGACTGGTTGATACGAAATGATCAAAATCGAAAAGTTTATTGTACATATGATACGTTTACGGCAGGCTGTACCTCAGTGAATGATACACCAAGCATTAAAAGGTATATCAGATATGTTGCATTAAGCTCGAGAATATTACACGAGTCGAAGACGAGTTCAAATATTAACAAGCTGAATACAATATCTGATATACCACGAAACCAAGCCATTATTATTATATTATTATTATTATTATTATTATTATACATTAAAAATTGAACTACAGTGAAACTAAAAGGAATGAAAAGATCACTTTTTTTCATAAATGTTTATATTCTAAAAACAGTTCTATAAAATAAAGATTTGAAATAGTGAAGCTTCGAATTTTACAGCTGCTCCAATATTTCATCTACAAAAAACATAGAAAAACAAATATGAAATGTGTCTCTTACAATACGCGCCTTGTAAGATTTGAGAATTTAAGTAAATATAAAAAGTCTCAAAAATGATATTTCAGAAAGTAGAAGTTTCAGCTGAAGGTATTTCGTGTGCCCCCGGGAACCTAAGCATATAATACGACTTCGGATATAGCAAGAGTCATTTAACAAAAATTAAAACATGATAAGAATGAGCACGGAAGAAGGCAAGATGTAAGGTGTTGTATTGTTCAATGCATCGTTTATGTAATGTCAACGAATCTAAAGTTCAGATTGTTTTAAAATAACATATACTAATTTTAATCGATGTGATTTTTGAGTTCTTCTTTTTGTTCATTTCTGTCTGTTGTACTTTTGTATAATTCGCCTTATTAAATTCTAAATTCAAACAGAAAAATGCAGTAAACACAGTACACAACTTAAATTACCCACCTTTTTATTTGTAAAAGAAATCTTTTCCCTTTTCATTAGTTTTCTTGTTTTAACATTTGTCATGTTAATGGCACTTTGTTTTGCGTTCAGACACTGAACAACGATAATTCATTGACGGTTTTTTAAAGAAATGCTTTCGCATTTAGTTCCGAAAGACAATGATTCTAAAAGAAATTGATATTCTACAGAATAGAGTTGTAGACTTACATAATGGCGTGTTTGTTATCATTCTAAATAAACCACTTCATTAATTCACTACACGCAGGATTATGAACTTATTTGAAATTTCATGCCACGTACGCATTGATTTCTCTTATGTTTAGAATCCAGCAAAGATCAATTTCACACAATTATCTGAAATTCTTTCACTTCAAAGCATCTTTTGTCTTAAATTCTCATCGATCTTCGTCAACTTAATTAATTGACGAATTGATTACTTCCAAAATGACAGTCAAAAGATCGAAAGGCACAACATTAATATATCATCAGGTAAAAAAAAACCTAAGGCTACTTATTTCCAAGGTTATAGCGTTACAGAATCAACATAAAAACAAACGGTTTCAATCTATATCGAAGTTAAATTAATATTTCTTCAATAATTTTTTTTACAATTTCTAATGCTCTTGTTTGGTCCTCTGAATTAACATTTTGATGATTTATAAAGCACTTGGGGGGATATCAGCCCATTTATTTTAAATGCAGTATGCATAACTTTTCGTCTACAAGTTGGCTGGTTACATATTTTTCGCACTGTGACATTCAGTTGTTTTATGCTGTTAATGTTGTTTGTTGTTGATATTTTTGTTATTTTAGCAGATCTTTCTGTGCAGTCCTCAAGAGTAGTCAATTGAAGCCCAGCCGCCTAATAAATAGTAACAAAAGGGTTCTGTATTTCTCACGTTGGGTGGAATGATGGGGGGGGGGGGGATTTCAGCTTCACGTAATGAATAGAGGACACTTATTTTACTTCCATACCACATACTTTTGTTTAATAAAGTTTGCAATGTTATATCATTTAAGCCACCCCCTTGCTAGAATAATTAGTAATTTATTATTTTCATCATCAAGCATTAGTTTGACGTGGCTTTAATTTAATGATCCTGTCAGGATAACATTTTTTGTATTAACTTTATCTATCAAAAAAGATCAGCCATTATTTTAGTTTTTTCCCCATCATCTGCTATCTTTTATTTACCAATTGGAGAAATTAGATAAAAAATGATGTAAAATTATAATCACTGTATCACGGCTAACAATCGAACAACTCTCTTCAGAAAATTACAAATTTTGTGAGGATGATCTACTTTTTCTCTGAATATCCGTGCGTCTCAGAGTAGGCTTGCATTTTATTTATCAAAAATTTAGCTATTGCTTGTTATTCCCAATATAAGCATTTAGATATCAGGGTAGTTTAATTATTAAGACCCATTTTCTGAACGCATTTAAGCCACCACTTCGCCAGGTTTGATGGATGCAGCAGCTGCTTGTTGGTTGTACGGGGCACCCAGAGCTTGGTAATGTGGGGCACCAGGATCCTGGTTGTACGGGGCAACAGGAGCTTGGTTGTAGGGAGCTGGAGCAACAGGCTGGCCAGCAGGGGGATAAGCCTGCTGAACGTTGTATCCGGGAGGGAGCTGAACGATTCCCGCCGGCTGAGTGTACTGGCCTGCGTAGAGACAATGGGAATTTAAGGAATTAGTATTATACTTTCCCTTTTTACATTAATAAATCGCGATTAATAAACTGATTGTATAGTGCAGAGTAACATTGAAATTCAAAGAAACTGAACGGAAGTTCAATCAAGTTATCGATAATTAAGCGTATTCATAAACAATTAAGCACATTCATTTCAGAATATTAACCATAACTGTGAAGTATTATAACTTGCAAAACTTGTTAACTTTTTGTACATGTATGTGGACAAGTTCAAGGTTTTGTTTCCGATACGTTACCGGCCATATTTCAAAGATTGTCGTATATCTTAAGTTTGTCACCAGTTTATAATTTTTTTAGTTGGCATCTGACAATAAATCAGGTAGAATTAATAATTTCAGTGTTTATCATGGGTATATTCTAAATACCATGAAGCTTAATGACAAATGGGATAGAGAATTACACTTGCTAACATTTCACACAGAATCTAGCATTTAATGATAAAAAGGTGCATCAAATAAGGTATTATGAAACATTTTTCCCAACCCTCAAAAAAAAAAAAAAAAAAAAATGGAAACATAACTATTTAGTACATTCTTCTATGTCTAAACTCATAATGAGTGTTCTGTGATTCTTTATACTACCGATAACCTTAATTTCTTTTCAGGACAGATTCAGTGGATCGCTATATACATGTATCAGTGTGTTTGAAATATTGTATTAATCATTTCCGCTAGTGGACCATTTCAAAAACACATGGTTTTAAACTCTATTTGATTAGGCTCTGATATTGCTAGTATCACAGCCTATACTTCCTACCGTTTCCTTTCTATATGAACTAATGGAAATACCATGTTTGTTACAAAGTAACTATAGATTGAAGTTGAAACAAGAACACAAACAATTGATATTTACATACCGGTTGTCACAGCCATCGGAATGTTCTGGTGGGTGTACTGCAAAGGAAATTGAAACAAGTACAAATAAATGTAAGATACAAACCAAATGAAATAAACAATGATAATAGCAATAGACCTATTCTTCTTTTGTATATTTTACAATACATGTGATCAACTAATACTCTGTTGGACATCATTATTCTGACTTCACATCCTGTTGCTGTAGCGTATAGCATGTGATCATGGCAATGAATACATTTATCAGAAACCATTACTTCCGCTTGATTAAGAGTAGCAAATGTATATTTATGTCTTGCCACATGCCATTGGTGCCATGTAGGGGCAATCATATCAATTGGCAAATCATGTCCTTTGGCAGTATAAAATGTCCGTTGTGCAATGCGGGAGCTCAAACCCGCGACCTTCGTAGGTTCTTAGCTCCAGTGAAGTCATACTACTTGATTGCTATTATACTAAAAAATGGAAACAAAAGATATGATATTTTTGTTTTAATCAATCTACCTGTTCTATCTTTTTAAATAGGGTCTTGTTAAATATCTGGTTAAAGGAGCGTCTCTGCAAAGTTGAAAAATTCCTGAAATCTACTGACAAGCAGAGCAAAACGACAACAACAAATCCCGGCCATTCAAAGCCTTTTGCAAATGGCATACAGCCTTAAATAAATTTAGTAGGGATGGCAACACCGCGTGCCATCTCGACCTTTGCTCCCTATAGGGAGCTTCTGTTAAACCAAAGGTGCTGAAATTCACCTGTAATGGAAATAAACAGCTACAAATATAAGTGGTTGTATTTCTCTTGTGACAATGGATTCCAACATTTTAGCGTGGATTTTCCACTTTAAAGAAAAGGAAAATAACCTGACTCTCCACACAAGAGAGTGTTTGTCTACCCCTGTATATTTAGGGGTTATAGGACAAATAACTCACCATAGTGGTGGTAGTTGGTGAAGACGAGTGACAACAGGCCATGCCACCACAGCAGTAGGCTGAAGCCACAATGGCTACCACCATCTCGATCAGGCCAAGGATGGCCAACAGAGAGTCAGATGCGGTGCCTCCTTCCTGTTAATCGAATTCGAATAGTTTAATTATTTATTAATTTATCTATTTATCTACCCATACATTTATTGATTTATTCATCATTTACCTATTCATTAACTTATATTTTCATTGTTTCATTTATTTATTCTTTAATTCATCGATTCATTCATTCATTCATCCATTCAGTATATATATTCATATATTCATAATTATTTATTTATATATTTATTCATTCATGTATTGAATCATTTATTCATAATAAAAAATTCAAATAAAGTAATTTGAAACACTATAAATTTAAGAAAATCCATAAATGCATATGGAAACATAAACAATAGCCAATGGAAATCATAATAAAACTTTATTTCGATTATAATACTGAAAAGTGGAGAGAAGGATGATGGATGAAATGATTTTAAAAAACCGGGCCAATAAAAACCGAACGTTTTTATGTAGAATCATTTATTCAGTTAATGATAATACTGTTTCAAAATATTGATTAGAATTGAAAACGACAAAAAGCATTTGACACTGATGGGGTAACAGGGGCATAAAACATTTCATCTAAAGAATCATAGAGATAGATCAATAATGTTCTGAGAGGATAGCAACCTATATATCAAGAATAAACCATATTGTAACAGTCATTTTATGGAAGGGCGTAAGGTTTAATGGGCAACATGCAGTCTGTATACGTACCGCTATTCCTTGTTCGGCAATGCCGGCATAGTACAAGTAACCTAGACGATAACTGGTGATTACTGCCCCAATGGCACCAATAATTATTTGAGCGCAGGCAACATTTGCCGAGATGATACACATCGTAAGATAGCCGATGATCTAAGAAAACAACGTTTTAGAATTTATTTTTTTTTAAGTAAAAAAAAAAAGCAAAACAAATGAATAGAGTATATATTAGCGGAACCGATGTATTATTTCATGGTTGTAACGTATGTAGTTGCCTACTGTTGAGTAACACTACACAGTAAAAACGCTGCTTAAAAAAAGTGATGTTCACTTACAGTTGTACACTATCTTAAACAACAGTTGAACAAATTGTAAACAATGTTGCTCGAAACGAAAGTAATTTTGTTAAACATTCGCTGTTTAAAATGTAATGACTGCTATATTTGCTATACGAGAGCTTTTAGACAGTGTTGTTTACATATGACGTCATGTGTCACGTGCCAGTAAAGTGCGTGTTGGCTAAACGATTTATTTCACATCATGGCCGACATTCGATCAAGCTACCGACGCGCTTCTAAATGGCTTAATTGAAATCACTTTTCTATTAACCACTTTGAAGTTTTTAACTTATAGCGTAAGTTCACAGTTAAAATGTTCAGTATCTGTACGCAAATGTCAGAACGTAGGTAGACTTCAAATCGTCGCGTCATGCAGTGCGGCACTAATCGCGCACTCGGTTATAACGTGTGCTAAATTCCTTGCCATAGAGATTGCATGCATCCCTATATGCAGTTTATACGTGCGTGCATGCGCTCTCATGCAAAATGGGCACTGTTTTGGCGCTAATTCATACATTGCAGAATTACCCTACCATATTGTTAGTCTTTATATATATAGAGACCAAGAAATAGTGGTGCACTTATTCAGAGTATCAAACCCAAATTATACCCCATTATACAAACCTTTTGTTGTAAACAACCCCCACTGAACAACAGCTCCTCAGTTTTAAACAACTTTCTTTAAACAACCCAGTTGGTGTAAACAACCCCCACTCAACAACAGCTCCTTTTTAAACAACCGTCTTTAAACAACACTGGTTGTTTAAATTGTGATTTTAAACAAGTTGTTCAAAATGTTGATCTACTAAGTGTTTAAACTTTAAACAACTCGAGATGCTTAACATTTTAAACATTTCTCAGATCAGATCACCCGTTAATCCGAGGTTGTTTAAACTTTTAAACAACTTGTTCACAAAAATGTTAACTGTGTATCATTTCCTCAGCTGCAATCGATTATACAAGTTTTTAACTGGCCTTGGAATACATTGAGTGTGTGGATGCGCTGGGCTCGGATGCGCGCGTGTGCGTGTGTATGTGTGTGTGTGCGGTATATGTTGGTTTGTTGTATACATAGAATGAGCCCTCGATTAACACAAGAAACGCGTATATGAAATGGGGTGATGGGTAATGAGTACATATTTCTAAATGAGACTAAAGGAAAACAAAAACATACATACCACACAAGTGTTCTTCTGCTTCGAACATATTCCTAAGATACCGGTAGGAATGTAGAACTAGGAGAGGAGAATAAATAACAGCCATTAAAAATCACAATTACAAAATTCAACTAAATTTGTATATATCTCCATGTATGCTAAACAACCATGGTTTTTTTCTCTTAAAAAATTGCTAATATGGCCTCTGTCATCTTTTATTCCTCTCACAATTACAATTTGCTGAAATTAGATAAATATTTTAAAAAGTTCAAACCATTTCTTTTTAGCGTGTACCGTGTATTTATCTCTAGACAGACACAATTACAGTTTGATACTGATTTGGGAATTAGTTTTAACAAATTTTCAAATCATGGTCATGATTTAAAAGTCGTTATCTTTCGTGTCTGTTTCGTGACAATTTTCTTATATTTTGGGGAGTATTTTTCCTAACAACGAAGACATTAGTGAACATGCACTTTCTCACAGGTTTCACGGCAAACAGCTGCAGAATACAAGCGCATGCCTACGATGGGGTGCGGGCGCGCGCGTGTGTGAAGTTAGCGACTGTAATCTCAGATCCTCATCCATTTCATGCAAGTAATTCACATTGTGAATTGAAAATAATCATTTAAAAAAAGGGTTCTTGCCAAAGTGTTAATCACGTATGGAAACAATTGCATGCTCCAAAGAAGAACAAAACAAAAAATGGCGACTTACCAGAACACTTGCCCAAATTCCAATGGCGACAAAGCCTAGTCCGGAATAGAAGCGGGAAAAGATGACTAACTGGGCAATGGCGACGACGATGCTCCCGATGCCGATGGAGAGCTGCAGCCAACCAGTCGCTCTCCCGGCAGCTCCGTTAAAGTTCTGCGACACACCACTCGATGAGTTAGGGTTCTGCACCGTATTGGCATAGCTAACTGGAGCGGGCTGGTGGACGAAAACAGTCTGGCCCGGGACTCCGGGCTCGGTGGGATGAGACGTGGCCTGCATATCAGAGGTAACTTGCTGTGTAGGGTAAGAAGGTTTCGTAAAGACCGAACATGAGTTTTGAAGACCAATAGTGTTTGCAATTTGAGGACTGTAGGACAGTGTTCCCTCTGGACTACCACCTCCTCACAACATTGACAAGTGAGAAAGGAGGCGAGAATTGAGTGATTGATTAATTGAACTTTGATTATTACTTTTTTTAAACATGCATTTAAAATAGCAGCCAAAGGCTGAAACAAATTGAATTTACAAAAGATTATTAATTACATTAGAATACAATACATTGAAAATTGAAATACAGTTATATGCATAGTAACATATAAAGTAGGAATAACATTGCACCTCAAAATTAACACGGGAAGGGAAACACACTGAGAAATGAAAAGGACAGACGGGATAAGCTTGAGATAGAAGAAGAGGGAGAAATTTAGGTGAAGTAATCAAAAGAATTTAACCCAGAACAATTATAATTTAGATTCATTGGCAGTAAGGTTTTGAGACATTATTGAATCGACATTGGTATTTTGAATAACGACATAATTTCAACAAATGATGAGACATACTAATTGGAACACAAAGATATTGCAAGATAGCGAATACAAGTATTAATCGATAAGTATTGCAATATATGAGTCCTATATTCATTCGGCGTTTGATATAAATAATTTCGAAACCACATCCGACCCGTGGCTGTATATGCATGAATGAAAAACACACAGAAATCGGATTCATTTCAACAGAGCGCATCAATAATACATTAGTATAATCACGTGGGCAGAAATCGGCCATCACTACTACATACAACAAACTACGCCCTCATTGCTCCAGTAAACTACCTCAGACAACTACTCCTAGCACGAGTACCTTAAGATCATTAACTCCCTGCATGGTCACTGTTGGCTATGTAAAGGGCGCAAGTAGCTGCATGTAGTGCAGTCCCGCTTTAAGATATATCACAATGTTCTCCTTGGACAAACAAGAAGGTAGTGATCCGGGGATAAACTTATTAAGGTGATTAAATCAATTATCCTAGAGGTAGGTCTATTGTTTTTTGGGGGGTAGTTGCACGTTATTGTTTAAGTTATTAGTTGTCCTACTGGAAGTAGATCGGGGGGGGGGGGAGTAACCAGAGGACGATTAACGGAATGTTACTAATCCCAGGGTTACTAATCCCTCCTGGTCAAACTAGTGTAGATCAAACTAGTGTAGATGGGCTTTAATGGGATAGTACTAGAGGTAAATCATGTAAAGGCTTCTTAGGTGATTCGCTACATTTAAGGTTGTGTACCTACTGTCAATCAACACTATTTAAACGCTTTCGTTTGCCATTTATTTTTACGAATGATAGCCTATGATAACAAGTTAGTTTTCTAGAAAGTCCAATTTATATTTAAGTAATAGAGAGACTACATTTTTTGTTAAAGAACATGTCTACACTCAGTCACTCACACTCGTTTCATAGGTACTATTACTCGATGTAAATTCATTTCCCTTTCTGTCTCTGTCTTCGTCTATTCTTCTCTTTCGTTTTGATATTCATTGTGGATTTTCTATACGGCGTATTCGGAAAACAAGACTCATTTTAATTCATGCCTGCTTGTGTTACTGTTGTGTTACTGTTAACATTGTCTTGAAATTAACTATGTCATTAAATAAGTAGGCTTTACAAATGTTTTACTTCAGTATTTTGTTAATATGAAACAAGATTTGAAAGAAAATTAATAGAATGATTTTGAAAGATTGTTGATATCCCCGCTATCTGTGAAGTGACCTATTTTAATAAATGATAAGTAACAGCATATATCTGCAACATAAAAAAAGAATATCAAATCATCACTACCACACAAAGCTCCTATGCGGAAATGTCGACGAAAACTGAAATGTTACATCATCTCTAATTAAAGCATATGGCGTCATAGCGACCTGCCATCGTAGGATGACATATCGTCGCTGTTTTCACGAAGTGACGGTAGTGAAAAAAATTGCATTCACTTTGCGTTACGATTTTCCTCACTACCATCACTTCGTGAAAACAAGGACGATATGTATGCATTAATAATGGCGTGCACAAGTGCATTCGAGTGTACTACGACGAGAAATGTACATTAAATGCATTGTTTGTTCAACAGGTTGAATCAAAAATATTGTGCATAAGCAGTATAGAAAGAGAACGAAAAAGAGAGAGAGAGAAGAAAAAAAAAGGGGGGGGGGCAATAGTGGACTGGCAAGAAAAACATTGTTTGATCATCATAACCTTCATTTAACCATAACTTTTTTTGTTACCGTTCAAGGTAATAACTTATCTCGTTCGTTTATCTGTCCGTTTAAAAAAACAATACATATATTTCAGTAGCCTACTAAAAAATAACACCCATGGCCTAGGGAATAGTATTCATTTGCATGTGCACCCAATTATCGTACAATAGGAGGTAAAATATCATTATAGCATGATTTTTCTACTCTATGATTTGCATGAGCTATAAAATCATCCTTCGATCATAGTAAAATAACGCGTGAGAGCCATTTTTGTTTGTGTGCAAATGTGGCGGCCTCGCAGACTTTAGTTCTCCTATACCGTGTGAGTAAAAAAAAAAGTTTACACCTAGAAAATTGCTAATTAATTTAAAAATCATCCATGAACAGTAAATTATTATGCATCTTATGAAAGAGTATTTTATCCCAAATAATTTGGTATCATTTTTGTGTGGTATGTGTTCACGCTTGGATGAACAGGAGGCAGGCGCGGATCCAGGATTTCTTAGGGGGGGGGGGGGGGGGGGCCCACTTTTTTTTTTTTTTTTTTTTGGGGGGGGGGTCCGAAAAAAAATCGTAACGACTCAGCCAGCCGCTAAATAAGCGGGGGGGGGGGGGGGGGGGGGAGAGGAGGACACTTTTTTTTTTTGGTCTCGAAATTTGAAAATTTGACATTTTGTTCCGTTGGGGGGGGGGTGAGGTCACCTTTTTTAGGTCAGCCATTGGCATATTTTTTTTTTTTTTTTTTAATTAAAAAAAAAAAAAAAAAAAAATCACAGAAAAGGGGGGGGGGGGTTGCTCCAAAATACACACATAAAAAACCGAAGGGGAGAGGGTTAACCTCCTAACCCCCTCCCCCCCCCCTTCCGTACGTGCCTACTCGTCTGAAAATAGTTTTTCCCCTCCCGCGCGAAGCGCGGAAGCTTTTACGTTTCATTAAATAATTAGAAAAAGAAGACGATTCTTTGTACAGTTTTTATGCCTCCGTTACGAAGTAGCCGGAGGCATTATGTTTTCGGGTTGTCCGTCCCGAGGACCCCACCAAAAAAAGTCTCGTTCTTGTGATCGCGTTATCTGAAGAACCGATCGATGGATTCCTGCCAAACTTTGGTCATGTATGTATCTTGCAGAGCCGATGAACTGATTAGATTTTGGGGTCACGAGGTCAAAGGTCAAAGGTCACAGGGCTCATTAGGTATGCAAAAACAGCTCGTGATCGCGTTATCTGAAGAAACGATTGATGGATTCCTGCCAAACTTTGGTCATGTATGTATCTTGCAGAGCCAATGAACTGATTAGATTTAGGGGTCATGAGGTCAAAGGTCAAAGGCCACAGCACACATTATGTATGCAAAAACAGCTTGTGATCGCGTTATCTCAAGAACCGATTGATGGATTCCTGCCAAAATTAGGTCATGTATGTTACTTGCAGAGCCAATGAACCGAGTAGATTTTTGGTTCATAAGGTCAAAGGTCAAAGATCATGGGCTCATTATGTATGCAAAAATAGCTTGTGAACGCATTCTCATTAGAACTGACAGATGGATTACTATTTAACTCAGGACATCTTGCAGAGCCAATGAACTGAGTAGATTTTAGGGTCATGAGGTCAAAGATCAAAGGGTCATATATGTATATGAGAAATTGCTTGTAATCACGATATTCTGAGAACCTGTCAATGGATTACAATTGAACTTGAATTCGAAAAATGTCTTCTGTTTTGGTTTGTAAAATTGCTCTATGACGGAGGCATCATTTTCGACTGCGCGCAGTCGAATTCCATCTAGTTTACTCTTAATCCTCGTCTTAATTCATCCCCCTCTCCCGCGCAAAGCTCGGAAGCTTTTACGTTTCATTAAATCATTAGAGAAAGAAGACGATTCGTTGTACCGTTCTCGACTCTTAATCCTCATCTGAATTCAGTTTTCCCCTCCTCCCTCCCGCGCGAAGCGCGGAAGCTTGTACGTTTCATTAAATCAATAGAGAAAAAAGACGATTCGTTGTACCGTTCTCGAAAATAATCCTCGTCTGAATACAGCTTTTACGTTTCATTAAATCATTAGCGAAAAAAGACGATTCGTTGTACCGTTCCCGAAAATTATCCTCGTCTGAATTATTTTCCCCTGCCCTCCCCCGCGCGTAGCGCGGAAGCTTTGACGTTTCATTAATTCATTAGAGAAAGAAGACGATTCGTTGTACCGTTCTCGACTTTTAATCCTTGTCTGAATTTCAAATATGTTCTTTGTCTATTCCCTTTTCTTCCTACGTCCTCTTCCTTTACACTCCTCTCTTTTTTGGCCGGTGTTTATTGGGGGACCACCCCACCGCCCCCCTGGCTACGCGCCTGCTGTCATATGAACATATGTTGATACCTTGTCCGCCCCGGAAGCTCAGGGGTTTAAGGTTTTAATTTACGGTCAGATTAGCATTCAGGGGTCCGCCTTAGCGCCCTAGGCGGGGTCCAGGGGGCAGAGCCCCGGAAGTTCAGGAGTTTAGGCATTTAATTACAGTCAGATGAGGATTATTTTGATACCTAATTGTTACAATGGCAGGTCACTAATTGGCTTGGGGTTCAGGGGCGGAGCCCCGGAATCTCAAGGGTTTTAGGCACTCAATTACGGTCAGATGAGTATCGAGGGGCCCGCCTAAGGGCTCTTGGTTGGGTCCAGGGGGCAGAGCCCCAGAAGCTCAGGGGTTTTAGGCGTTTAATTACGGTCAGATGAGCATTTTTGATACCTTATTATTTGTGACACTAGCAGGACACTATTTTGCGTGGGGTCCAGGGGGCAGAGTCCCCAGAAATCAGGGGTTTTAGGCATTAAATGACCGTCATATGAGCATCTAAGGGCCCGCCTTAGGGCCCTAGGTGGAATCCAGGGGGGAGAGCCCTTAGGATTTTAGGCATTAATTTTAATCATGGTCAGATGAGCTTATTTTGATATCCCATTATAATGTGACACTGGCAGTTAACTATTTTTTCTTTCTCGCTCTCTTTCTTTCTATTTCTCTTTAATATACTTTTCCAAAGAAAGTGTGGGGAGGGGCTCGAGGATCCCGATACCCGCCGTTCCGCGGGCCCTGATATGTAGGCATCTCAAGAAGCATTTTCTTGCCTGGCCGTAAATTTAGGAATTTGTCATTTTCCAACAAACGCATGAAGTGAGGAAAATTATCTCATTTCAGCATTATTTGTTAACCACCGTTATGAAATTATAAATAAACCACGTTTGAATTATATTTCTCCAACCCCCCCCCCTCCCCTATCAGTATGCCAGTGCCCCCCCCCCCCCTCCGATCTACACCTTGTTGGCGGGAAAATTGCAACTGATATCCCTTACCTTTCTTCATTCTCTTTTTTGTCCTTTCCCTTTCTCTCCTCTTTCACTTTCCCTTCCCTTCCTTATCTCTCTTTTAGGTTTGCTGGGGGGGGGGGGAGTGCTGGGGGGGGGGGGGAGGGGCACGGTCATTTTGGTCCCCAACCCGCTCCACACGTTGTTGGCGGGATTAACCGCAACTGATCTCCGCTTCTTTTCTCCCTTTTCTTTTTTTCTTCCTCTTTTTGTTCTCTTTTAGCTCTCCTCTTTTTCTTTTCCTTCCTTCTCTCTTTTTTTAGCGGGGATGGGGGGAGGGGGGAGGTTAGGGTCTTTTGCCCCCCCCCCCCGATCCACAACTTGTTGGCGGGAAAATTGCAACTGATATCCCCCTTCTTTTCTTTTCTTCTTCCTATTTTGTCCTTCCCTTTATCTCCTCTTTATCTTTTTTCTTTCCCTTTCCTTCCTTCTCTTTTATTTTTTTTATTGGGGGGTGGGAAGGGGGGAGGCAAGTCCTCCCCCCCCCCCGATCTCCTTCTTCCCTCTTTTCTTTTCTTCTTCCTCTTCCTTTTTTCCTTTCTCTCCTCTTTCCCTTCTTTTCCTTCTCTCTCTCTCTCCTTTTTTTTTGCGGGGGGGGGGGGGCAAGGCACGCTCGGCCCCCTGGATCCGCGCCTGACAGGAGGCATTGTTTGCGAGAGTGCAAAAATCGACTTGCGCCAAAGTGATGCCTACAGCATGTTTTATATTGGGATTAGCGGATTGAGAGAATGAATTGAATTGAATGTATCAAATGAGATGCATATGCACTTTGCAGAAGCAAAGTCACACACGCAAACACACCCACACACACACGCATAAATGTTCGTTGATATTGGATATTCGATATGTGTGGTATAACCAGGGAGGTGAGACTTTTTTGTTAACCAATTTTGTTAGGGATTTTATTTGGATCTGCAAAGACCGAATTAATACCCAAATCCCACTTGTTTTATTCATGCATCACATAAGCAATTTTGGCGCAAGTCGATTTTTGCTAACATGAAAGATGAATTTCAAAGGCCAAAGATGTCGACAAATCCCCATAATTCTCTTTATCTGTAACCAATGTGAAGTGACTAGCATTCATACACCGATATCGATATATATTTAACAAACATTGATTTCCAATCAATATAAACAACATATTTTCTTTTTTATGAGTTGAAAGGTTAACGGAGCAAGCAAAGAATTCATTCGTGTACAGTACGAAAAATGCGAAATGCCTAAAAAAGAAATCTCTAGTAGAAAAATAAGCCAAACCCTACACAATTAAAAGATGGCCGAAATGGTGCTGATATGACTCTGTACTGAATAATTTTAAGGAAAAGTCACACAGCCGATTATCATTCAGAATAGCACCAGTATTTTAATCAGTTATAATGGAGTGAGCATTGTTTTCGGCACAATGTAATGCTAATATTGTCCCAAATCTACATAGTGGAATACATGAGTATACCTATTTTAATTTGTAATTTCATAGGTTTCAAGATTTACAAGCTTACCCTACAACATGACCCTTTTGAACTTTCCCATCAAAAAATATTACAGATAAATCACGACGACCTTTGAAAAGTACTATAAAAGGGAAGTAATAATTTTGTTTTAACTCATTGGAAGTGTATATACTGTACCAGAACGGAATAAGTATGGTTGTTTATTATATCACAAATTGGATGATTTTCATTCACAACCAACAAAAATATTCAAAACGTAATTCACATTCCGACTCTATCCTCTTTTGCTTATGTTATTTATGACTCCCTGATCGATATTGCGTATTTTCTGAAAATGGATACAACCACACAAGCTGGATCCTCACCATTAACACCTCTGTGTACATAATATGCACCCATCAACAAAATGGCGACTTAAAGTACAATTAGAAATGATAATGATCTCATGATTTGAATCATATCAGCAGTAAGAACATGCTACACAGCATTCAATAATACTTTTCCTGTCCAAACAAACTCCAATTTAAATTGTGCTGGAACTATCGCGCTAACGAATGAAAAACAAATTAGACTTACCTTGATTGTCTGTTTAAAATGTCTGCCTTAAACCAAGTTCTTTAATGATGCTGTATAATCGCACGCACTACTTTTATCTTACTGTGAGCGGTAATTACAATAGAAAAATGGATCCGGGTTGTATATGGAGTGACATCCTGTGGAGTGATTGATTTTATTCTGACTCATTCAAAATTCGTGTGTATGTATGATCGAAGTGTAGTCCAGCCTCTGTACCGTTTCCGTTTAGCATACCCATCAGCTGATAAAATAACACACCCTCAACGTTGAAAGTAGGCCTAGCCATTCCTCTAAATCTGGACCTCGAATACGTGTAGACGGAAATTTGGGGATTGCGCGATCAGTGGTCAGATACCGCGCTGTGTGTGCATATAGATGCATCTCTCTCTAAGTACAAAACCTGTATTGAAATTGTTATTTACATGATTTATTTTGGTGAGGGAGGGGAGGGGTACGTCGTTAAACACACATACATATTGAAAGCGGCCTTTTTCCTATCAGCATGTCCATTGTGTTAAATAATACGTTTCCCAGTACAGTTTAACACTATTTTTCCATTAAAATTCATCCCAAATATTCCCTTATCTTTGTATGTAATGTTTAAAATAATTGAAATACATTTTTTTTAAACCTGGGTTACCTTAAAGATAAAGACCAGTTATGGTCATGCGATTGCATTGTGAAAGAAACGTTGTGGAATCGATCAGAAAAGGTTGATAATGTAGCATATAAGTATTGGTGTGTACTGCAAGGTTCTGGAATCATCAAAACGATAAGAAGTTTAGCCCAGTCTTCGTACAGTTTCAAGCACTGTACACAGAAAGATGTATATGGGACTACGCACACGTGCACGACACGTGCGTTTATCTCTCACAGTCCAATAGATAAACTAATTTACCAAATATATCATTTAGTAGGCGGTTTCTCGGCAAAATCTGTATCAGTACGTATTAGTCAAAACATATTCTTTCACATGATTGGTAATAAAGAGCTTCCATTTCATTTTTTGAAATTGGGGCGTTTCCAATACTGGTCTTTACCTTTAAGCGTTGGTCACAACCCACCGTGTGTGTTTTTAGTCCGTACGGTTTTGGGAAGGCCACGGCCGCCACGTTTTTCTGAAAAACGTAGGGAGGGAGTGGCAAAGGCAGGGAGGGAGTACCGACAACGGTTGCGTGCATCGTACGTTGCGCACGTGGTAAGTGCGTTGTACGTACTTACAACGTGCTTGTAATATACGGTCTCCGTGCGGTTGCCAATTTATCGTACGGAGGCCGTACTTACACGTGCTGCTCACGTACGGTGTCCTTACTCGCACGTCGTAAGTGCGTGCACGTGCGATGAACTTGGTGAGCGCACTAGCGTGGTGAGTCCCAGCTGCTGCTGCCTCAAGATGCCGCCCATTCCACCGCAGAGACTATATACTGCATAAATCAGTGCGCACAACGTGCGTTGTAAGGAGCACGTGCTTACTCGGTAGGGTCCACGAGAGTTCTGCGTGCTCATTGGACAGTTGAACTGGGGAAGTGGCGAGTAAGCACGGACCACGCACTTATCATGTGCACAACACGCACGTGCTAAGTGTGCCTTCCGTAGAGCAAGTGACCGTGGGAAACCAATTTTAAAGACGCACGGAGTCAGTGCGTTGCGCGCTCGTTGGCAGTACCGGGCACGCACATCACACGCACTGGGGGTGAATCGGTAGCCCGACCGCAGCCCAAACGCAGCGAAAGTTCCTCGTGCACTAAAAGTGATACGGTGTGTCTACGTGCTCCCAAATCCGTACGGAGGCGGTACTCACGACGTACGGATACCCAAATTTTGCCCACGTTTTTGCACTTAGACAGCATCCACTTGCAAGTACGGCGGGTTGTGACCACCGCATAAATGCTGTATCATGTTTCCTTACTACATTCAATTCTTGCAGTGGTCTCGACGATCGCTTGCCGCAACACACTCCAGCGCAGCCGTAGGCTAGTCCTGCAATAGAAACTACCAACTCGATAGGCGTTGTGGCGTGCTATCAACTCGATAGACTATACGCCTGTAATCCAGCTAACAGTGGAAGTTACAATCTGATTCAGGCGAGGACGTAGGTTCGAAACTGAGTCACGTCTTTCGGATGCTGACGTTTAAAGGTCGGTCCCCAGATGTAAATAATCACATCTGATTGATACACGTCTGTAAAAAAACCAATTAACACATATCAACTCGATCAACCCGATTACACCCATGATTCCATCTGAGGCAGATCGACATTCTGCCAATGGCAACGAGTAAAATATAACTCTGCACAACTCGCAGTAGCACAAGTCAAAATTGCCCCAAGTCCTATCAATTATCTTTCTTATTCCGAATATACATACAAAACCGACAGAAAAAAAAACTTTCATAGGTTTGGGTAATCAAAGCATGTAGTTTAAGCTTCTTCCAACCTTTACCCCCAAAAAATCCATCTCAGTCAGCAGTATCAGAACATGATCTTAATACTGGACATTAACATGGGTTAGAATGATGCCCATATTATTGACTTTGAAACACATCATTTGATGGAGGAAGGTGAAAAAATCTATCTGGATAAAAAGGATTAATCTTTCGATGAATAAGGACTCTGGCTATTGACTGTCACCAATCTCCGCTTCAGTGATCTTAAGGCAGCAGAGAGCAAGAAACAGTGATAATAGTCACATGGCTTGGGAAAGTCCACATGAGTGGATGAAAGCTTGCATACTAAATGTTAAGGCTGGTAAATTCTTAAACTACGTGTTAATCAAAACATGTGCTATTTAAACTTCCTAAGCAAAATTTTGCCCTTGCTTGGGAAATCTGAATTTCTCGGTTCATATATTTATACGATATTAGCTGCCATTGATAGGTATATCAGATACGTTGCATTCAGCTCGGGAATATTACACGAGTGCAATATTCATGCTAGCTGAATGCAATATATCTAATATAACACTAAAGAAAGCCAATATTTTTGTTATTATACGTTAAGAATTAAACTATAGTGAAATTTAAAGGACTGAAAAGATCACTTCTTTTTTGGTATAATGTTCTATTCTATAAATATTCTATGCAAAATAAAGATATAAGTATTGAAGCTATGAATACAGCTGCTCAAATATTTCATCCACATCAAACTAAGAAAAACAAATATGAAGGGTCTCTTCAATACGCGACTTGTAAGATGTAAGAATTCAGCTAAATATACAAAGCCTGAAAAATGATATTAAACACATAGAAATTTTAGCTTGAAGGTTTTTGGTGTGCTCACGTCAGCTTAAGCATACAATATAACTTCGGATATAGAAAGAGTCATTTAACAAAAATAAAAACACAATAAGAATGAGCACGGAACAAGGCAAGATGTAAGGTATTGTATTGTTTACTGCATCGTTTATGTATTGTTAACAAATCTAATATTCATATTGTTTTAAAATAACATAAACTAATTTTAATCGATGTGTTTTTTGGAGGGTTTTCTTCTTTTTGTTAATTTCTGTCTGTTGTACTTTTGATTAATTCGCCTTATTAAATTCTAAATTAAAAAAAAAAAGAAATCACAACTTAAATTACCCGCCTTATTGTTGTAAAAGGAATATTTTCCCTTTTCATTTGTTTTCTTGTTTCAACATTTGTCATGTTAATGGCACTCTGTATTGCGTTTCAGACACTGAACAACGATAATTCATTGACGGTGTTTTAAAGAAATGCTTTCGTATTTAGTTCCGAAAGACAAGGATTTAAAAGAAATTGATATTCTACAGAATATAGTTGTAGACTTACATAATGGCGCGATCATTATCATTCTACAGAAACCACTTCATTAAGACACTACACGCAGGATTATGAACTTATTTGAAAGTTCATACCACGTACGCATTGATTTCTCTTATGTTTAGAATTCAGCAAAGATCAATTTCACATAATTATCTGAAATTCTTTTCACTTCAAAGCATCTTTTGTCTTAAATTCTCATCGATCTTCGTCAACCTAATTAATTGACGAATTGATTACTTCCAAAATGACAGTCAAAAGATCGAAAGGAACAACATTAATATATCATCAGGTAAAAAAAATATACACCGGTAATTGGATATTTTCCACTACACTTAAGGCAACTAGAAAAAGGCTACTTATTTTCAAGGTTATAGGGATACAGAATCAACATAAATACAAACGGTTTTAATCTATATCGAAGTTAAATCAATCTTTCTTTAATTTATTTTATTACAATTTCAAATTTTTGTTTGGTCCTCTGAATTAACATTTTGATGATTTATAAAGCAGTTGGGGGAATATCAGCCCATTTATTTCAAATGCAGTGTGCATAACTTTTCGTCTACAAGGTGGCTGGTGACATATTTTCCGCACTGCGACATTCAGCTGTTATATGCTGTTAATGTTGTTTGTTGTTGATATCTTTGTTATTTTAGCAGATCTTTCTGTGCAGTCATAACGAGTAGTCAATTGAAGCCCAGCCGCCTAATAAATAGTAACAAAAAGGTTCTCTATTTCTCACGTTGGGTGGAATGATGGGGGGGGGGGGGGGGATTTCAGCTTTACGTAATGAATAGAGGACACTTATTTTACTTCCATACCACATGTTTTTTTTAATGTAGTTTGCTATCATGTAAGCCACCCCCTTCCTAGAATAATTAGTAATTTATTGTTTTCATCATTAGTTTGACGTGGCTTTAATTTAATGATCCTGTCAGGATAACATTTTTCCTGACTTTATGCGTATCTATCATAATACATCAGCCATCATTTTAGTATATTTAAATTGTTTTCATCTGCTATCTTTTAATTACCAATTGCAGAGATTAAAAATAAAATGATTTTAAATTATAATCACTGTATCACGGCTAACAATCGAAACCACTCTCTTCAGAATATTTAAAAGTTTGTGAGGATGAACTACTTTTTCTCTAAATATTCGTGTGTCTCAGAGTAGGCTTGCATTTTATTTATCAAACATATAGCTATGGCTTGTTATTCCCAATATAAGCATTTACATATCCGGGTAGTTTCATTAATAAGACCCATTTTCTGAACGCATTTAAGTCACCACTTCGCCAGATTTGATGGGTGCAGCAGCTGCTTGTTAGTTGTGCGAGTAAGAAGGAGCCTAGTTTGACAGAGCAGCAGGAGCTTGGTTGTACGGGGCAGCAGGAGCCTGGTTGTCAGGACACCAGGAGCCTGGTTGTACGGGGCACCAGGAGCCTGGTTGTACGGGGCAGCAGGAGCTTGGTTGTAGGGAGCTGGAGCAACAGGCTGGCCAGCAGGGGGATACGCCTGCTGAACGTTGTATGCGGGAGGGGGCTAAACGATTCCAGCCGGCTGAGTGTACTGGTCTGCGTAGAAACAATGAAAATTCAAGGAATTAGTAGTACAATTTCCCTTTTTTACATTAATAAATCCGATAAATAAACTGATTGTATAGTGCAGAGTAACATTAAAATTCAAAGAAAGTGAACGGAAGTTCAATCAAGTTAACGATAATGAAGCGTATTCATAAAAAATAATCACATTCATTTCAGAATATTAACCATAACTGTGAAGTATTATAATATTATCATTCAAACTTGAAAACTTTGTGTAGATGTATGTGGACAAGTCCGAGGTTTTGTTTCCGATACGCTACCGACCACATTTCAACGATTGTAGTATACCTCAAGTTTGTCACACGTTGAACAATATTCTAGTTAGGATCTGACAAGAAATCAAGTAGAATTAATAATTTATGTGTTTATTACGGGGTTTTGTTAATACCATAAAGCTTAATGAAAAATGGAACAGAGAATTACACTTGCTAACATTTCACAAAAAATCTAGCATTTAAAGATAATAAGATGTACCAATTTAGGTATAATATCACATCCCCCACTCCTTAGCTCTGATATTCCTAGTATCACAGTCTATACTTCCTACCGTTTCCTTTCTATATGAACTAATGGAAATACCATGTTTGTTACCAAGTAACTATAGATTGAAGTTGAAACAAAAACACAAACAATCGTTATATACATACCGGTTGTCACAACCATCGGAATGTTCTGGTGGGTGTACTGCAAAGGAAATTGATACAAGTAAAAATAAATGTTAGATACAAAACAAATGAAATAAACAATGATAATAGCAATAGACCTGTTCTACTTTTGTATAGTTTACAATACATGTGATCAACTAATACTCTATTGGACAGCATTATTCTGGCTTCGCATCCTGTTGCTGTAGTGTATATCATATAATCATGGCAATGAATACATTCCATCAGGTACCCATTACTTCAGCTTGATTTAGAGTAGCAAATGTATATTGCCACATGCCATTGGTGCCATATAGGGGTAATCATATCAATTTGCAAATGATGTCCTTTGACAGTATTAAATGTCTGTTGTGCCATGCGAGGGATCGTTCCTACGACCTTCGAGGGTTCGTAGTTCCAGTGAAGTCATACTACTTGTCTGACTGCTATACTAAAGCCAATCATATTGTACTGATAACTGGAAACAAAACAAAAAACAGTCGGACATTATTGTTTTAATCAATCTTCCTGTCTATCTTTTTAATAAGGTCTTGTTGAATATCTGGTTAAAGGAGCGTCTCTGCAAAGTTTTAGACGGAACGGGTTTTAAGGGGATGATGTTGACTAAAGTTGAAAAATTGATGGAATATACTGACATGCAGAGCAAAACAACGACATCAACAAATCCCGGCCATTCAAAGTCTTTTGCAATTGGCATACAGCCCTAAATAAATTTAGAAGGGGTGGCAACACCCCCGTGCCACCTCGACATTCGCTCATGATTGATATTTCTTCCTATATAGGGAGCTTCTGTTAAACCAAAGGTGCTGAAATTCACATGTAATGGAAATAAACTGGAATCAGCTACAAATATAAGTGGTTGTATTTCTCTTGTGACATTGGATTCCAACATGTAAGCGTGGATTTTCCACTCTAAAGGAAACCTGACTCTCCACAAAAGTGGCTGTCCACCCTGTATATTTAGGGGTATTAACTCACCACAGTGGTGGTTGTTGGTGAAGACGAGTGACAACAGGCCATGCCACAACAGCAGAAGGCTGAAGCCATAATGGCTATCACCATTTCTATCAGGCCAAGGATGTTCAACAGATAGGCGGATGCGATGCCTCCTTCCTGTTAATCGAATTCGAATAGTTTAAAGATAAACTCCAGTACTGGTAAAAAAAAATAAAAAAAAAATTCTCACAGAATCAAACGAAACTTACACTGAATGTTCAAGATTACAAATAAATGACATGTGCCAAACAATTTTGGAAGAAAATGTATACTGGCTGAGTAATGAACATAGAAAGACAAGGAAATCAAGGTAGTACTAGCCCCGACACCATGTGTGTTGTCCCATATATAGCTTTCTATGTGAGTGCTTGTTACTTTACCAAGACTCGGTCAAATTTATTATGATTTTGATGACTCCAGAACCTTGCAGTGCACACCGATACTTACATGCTACATGATCAACTGTTTCTGATCCTTTCCACACCTTTTCTTTTACAATGCAATCGCATTACCAGTACTAAAGTTTATCTTTAATTCTTTATTTCATTTATCTCTTTATCTTTCCATTCATTTATTAATTCATGCATCATTTATCTATTTATTAACTTACATTTTCATTGTTTCGTTTATCTATTCTTTCATTCATCCATTCATTCATTCATTCATCCATACAGTATATATATATATATATATATATATATTCATATATAAATAATTATTTATGAATATATTTATTCATCCATGTATTGAAATATTAATTATTTTCCGTCATGGGCTTGATTAAGGACATGCCTGATTAAAAAAAGTTAGAAAACTAGAAATTTAAGAAAATCTATGAATGAAAATCATGATAAAGCTTAATAGATTATAATACTGAAAAGTGGATAGAAGGATGATGACAGAAATGATTTTAAAAAACCTGGACAAAGAAAAACGAATGTTTTTATGCAAAAATATTTATTTAGTTAATGATAATACTGTTTCAAAATATTGATTAGCATTATTGGTAAGTTCTGCAATCGACACAAATATTTCCAGCCGGACCAATATGTATTTCCATAAACACATTGATGTCATTAAGTTCCCCTATTTTAAAAAGTGAATGAAGATCAGAACAATCAGTAAATCATCGATAGAATAATTTCTATGAATTATTAATCACTAAGCCAACCATCCAATATTTATCGGGGAAAGCTTTTCTAAAAAATATCCGAAATCAACTCTTTGCGTGGGATTTTGGATCAAGAGAAAAGTCATAGCAAAGTTTGTAAAGCTAAATTTCTTGATCTGTGTTTAATCATCGTAGGGATATTTAAACTTGTAAAACAATAGTCGATCAACATTTCAGAGACCATTCAAATTTTAGCAACACTATGTTTAAGCTTTGAACAATACGAGATCTCGCACGATTTCGTCAAAGAGAATTTTTTTACTGGTAATACAATATCGTTGAAAAAATGTTACAGGCAGCAGTTTTCTTAAACATTGAATATAAGGTAGAACGAACCGTTGTCAGTTTGTAGATTATCAGTTTTGAAAATCGTCGAAATCAATACAATACGGACTGGAAAGCGCAAAAAACAAAAAGTATTCGACACTGATGGGATACCAGGCACTTGAAACATTTCATCTAAAGAATCGTAGAGATAGATCAATAATGTTCTGAGAGGATAACAACTTTATCTATCAAGAATAAACCATATTGCAACAATCATTTCATGGAAGGTCGTAAGGGAAATGCATTTTTAACATGTAGCCTGTATACATACCACTATTCCTTGATAACTGTAGCCATAGGCATCGTCATTGAGATAGGCACCGGTGAGTGATGCCCCAATGGCACCAACAATCATTTGAGCAAAGGCAACATTTGCCGAGATGATACACATCGTAAGATAGCCAATGATCTAAGAAAACAACATTTTTAGAAATAAATTGTTGAAGAAAAAACAACAGCAAAACAACTGAATAAAATATATATTAGCGGAGCCGATGTATTATTTCATGGTTCTAACATATGTAGTTGCCTATGGTTGAGTGACACTATTATTTCCTCAGCTAAAATCGATTTAACAAGTCTTTAACTGGCCTTGGAATACATTGAGTGCGTGGGTGCGCTGCGCTTGGGTACGCGTGTGCGCGTGTGTATGTGTGTGCGGTATGTGTTTGTTCGCTGTATACATAATTATTATGATTCCTCTAATTTACCCGAGAAACGCGTATATATATAAAGGGGTTATGGGTACTGAATACATATTTCTAAAAGAGAATAAACTAAGAATACAAAAATAAACATACCACGCAAGTGTTCTTCTGCATCGAAAATATTCCTAAGATACCGGTAGGAATGTAGAACTAGGTGAGGAAAATAATTAACAGCCATGAAAATCAAAATTACAAAAGTCAACTGAATTTTGATATATCTCAATATATGCAAAACAACACATGGTTTTTCTCTCTCAAATATTTGCTCTTACATTAAAAAGTATTAATAACAGTAAACAAATTTGTGTGGCCTCCGTCACTTTGTATGCCTCTCCACAATAACAGTTTAAATTTAAACAAAAATGCAAACCATTTTTTTTGTAGCGTGCACTGTGTAGTTTTCTCTAAACAGACACCAACACAATTACACTTTAATACTGATTCGAAAATTAGCTAAATGAAATATAGTGTTACAGAAATTGGATGCTCGAACGATTAAAAGGGAGGTCTGAATTGGAGACTAGCTTTAATTTGGGCGAGGTTTTTGGGAGTGTGTAAAAGTTTGGAGCTGAGGCCGAGGTAGTTTTGAGACAGACAGATTTTGGAGAACTTAGAGTTAGGAGCTGGGAGGATGTTGCTCGGGAGCATCATCAATTAGCCAAAGGGCAAGAACTAGTATAAATGTGAGTTAAGTGTAACTGTTATTAGGTTGTGGCAAGTAAATATATTGGATATCACCACCATGTTTCTTGTGAATAAACATCAGTTACTTAAAAATCATTGTTCGATAACTCCTTTCTCTCAGAGACTGTAGTTACTAATTGTATGTGTGTATGACTTAGCCCTGGCCTTGCGTGAGCATTAATTTAGGCTAGACTAAACATCTACCCCTGCAGTCTTTAAATTCCCCATTTTCTTATAAAAGAATTCCCAAAAGTTATTACACTGGTGTCAGAAGTGGGATTTGAAAGGTGGAATTTTAGAAGATTGTTAGGTCTAGTTAGGGTCTAGGGAATAAGTCATATTTTGATTGTAGTATAAAGTTAAGATAGGTCAATGGCAGTAGCCTACGTTCATTGTCATTGGCATCGTTATGGTGGCCCTGAAGGGACATCGCGAATAGACTAAATCGTGAAAAATATGCGATAAAATTCACGATATCGTCAATTTTATCGCATATTTTTCACGAAGAAATTCACGAAATTGACGATATCGTGAACTTTATCGTGAACTTTTCACGATGAAATTGACGATATCGTGAATTTTATCGTGAAAAGTTCACGATATAAAGTTCACGATATCGTCAATTTTATCGTGTACTCTATCGTGTACTCTCCTGACGGGCGCTTCGTAAACAAAACCAGCCCTAGCTGGGGGAGACAGAGAGAAGGAAAAAAGGGAAAGGGAAAGAAAAGATAAAAGGAAAGAAAGAATAAGAAGAAGAAAAGAGGGAAACGGGGGGGGGGGCGAAGGGCTCTTGCCTCCTCCTCACTCCCCCCCCCCCGCCAAAAAATAAGTAAGGAGAAAGAGAAGGGAAAGGGAAAGGGAAAGAAAATATAAAAGGAAAGAAAGAAGAGGAAGAAGGAAAGAGGGAAACGGGGGAAGGGCGAAAGGCTCTTACCTCCCCCCCCCCCTCCCGCCAAAAAAATAAATAAGAGAGAGAGAGAGAGAAGGGAAAGGGAAAGAGAATAAAAGGAAAGGAAGAAGAATAAGAAGAAAAGAGGGGCTCTTGCCTCCTCCGCCCTCCCGCGCCAACAAATAAATAGGAGAGAGAGAGAGAGATAGAGAGAAGGGAAAGGGAAAGGGAAAGAAAATATAAAAGGAAAGAAAGAAGAAGAAGACGGAAAGAGGGAAACGGGGGAAGGGCGAAAGGCTCTTACCTCCCCCTCCCCCCTCCCGCCATAAAGGGAAAGAGAAGGGAGAGGGAAAGAAAATATAAAAGGAAAGAAAGAAGAGGAAAAAGAATAAGAAAAGAGGGAAACAGGGGCGAAGGGCTCTTGCCTCCTTTCTTTTCTTTCTTTTCCTTTCTTTCCTATTCTCCCTCTTTTTCGTTTTTCTCTTTCTTTCTTCTCTTTCCCTTTCCTTCTCTCTCTCTCTCTCTCTCTCTTATTTATTTTTTGGCGGGGGGCGGGGGGACGAGGCAAAAGCCCTTTGCCCCCGTTTCCCTCTTTTCTTTTTCTTCCTCTTCTTTCTTTCCTTTTATCTTCTCTTTCCCTTTCCCTTTCCCTTCTCTCTCTCTCTCTCTCTCTGATTTATTTTTTGGCGGGGGGGGGGGAGGGGGGGGGGCAAGAGTCCTTCGCCCTTCCCCCGTTTTCCTCTTTTCTTCTTCTTCCTCTTCTTTCTTTCCTTTTATCTTCTCTTTCCCTTTCCCTTTCCCTTCTCTCTCTCTCTCTGATTTATTTTTTGGCGGGGAGGGGGGGGGGGGGGGGAGTGAGGAGGAGGCAAGAGCCCTTCGCCCCCCCCCCCGTTTCCCTCTTTTATTCTTATTATTCTTTCTTTCCTTTTATCTTCTCTTTCCCTTTCCCTTTTTTCCTTCTCTCTGTCTCCCCCAGCTAGGGCTGGTTTTGTTTACGAAGCGCCCGTCTGGAGAGTACACGATAGAGTACACGATAGAGTACACGATAAAATTGACGATATCGTGAACTTTATATCGTGAACTTTACACGATAAAATTCACGATATCGTCAATTTCATCGTGAAAAGTTCACGATAAAGTTCACGATATCGTCAATTTCGTGAATTTCTTCGTGAAAAATATGCGATAAAATTGACGATATCGTGAATTTTATCGCATATTTTTCACGATTTAGTCTATTCGCGATGTCCCTTCAGGGCCACCATACATCGTACACCACTGCACTGCAAAAGCTCTGTGTGTATACGGGGAGCAACGCGTTGTATTGGTGTGTGTGTGTGTAGTAATGTTTTAGGATCGGTGCAGTGCATGTGCTGAGCAAAGGTAAAGTTGGTAGTCCCGCAGGCTAGATACAGCTAGTCTTGCTTTGCAGACCCGATAAGCTACTTTTGTTTGGGGAAGTTAAGATATAACTTAGTAGTAAATTTAGTCACTTTAAGTAACTTATTTTGATGGGATTGTTTTATTTGCCATTTAACTAATTAAATAATTTTAATCCCCTTTAGGATTATATTTTTCTTCATTGGATTTTATTGTGGAAAAGTTTAAACTATACTGAACCTGACGTGAAATTTGTATAGGGATTTTAAATACAGTAGCCTTATAGTTTCCATTTATAAAACTTCTAAATAAAGCAAGAGTAGGCTCATGAAAGTAACAGGGGTTTAGGGTGATACACAGTTGTTGAAGTGACTATCCACTCTCAACCATGCATCGCTCACGGATCTCGTCACGTACGCGTACAAGAGGGAGGGGTCGCCTTTCGAGTCCTCTAGGAGTTGGCGCCCACCTACAAGCGTTTGAGAAGTTTGCGGAAAGTGCCGTCAGTAACCAGGCTGAAATTATAGCGCACCTTGACAGATCTTCCACAGCACAGCAGGGTATTGAAAGGCGTCTGCAGGTGCTGGAAGCCAGAGTTGGAGACCAGAGCCCAGTGACATCACCAAGTGTTCAGAGAAAGCAAGTAGAGGCCTCAATGATGGCAGAGGGAAACGGCAACTAGTCGTGTTCGAGGAGCGGAACACGGCTAGAAATGGCAAGGCTCCTGTCATTACATCCCTGGGTGGAGAAGCAGAAGGACTCTTCCTCAGAGGGGTGATGGTTGGCAGGACACTTTTGAATCAGCATACCCAATCTTCACAAGAAGGTAATTGTGTAGGTGAATGTGAGCGAGTTGATGTTGTCATTGATGTTGAATCTCAAGAGGAAAATGTTGGAGAAGCAGGAGAAGTCACAGGCGAGTTCGCTCCGCGTTTAAGGTCGCTGCCTGAAAGAAGCAGCGTAGGATTGTCTGAGGGACAACCAGAAGAAAAGCGGGAGTTGTTACTGAGACGACAAGACCTGTTCTCCAAGGGATCCATGGACTTGGGACAGACAAGCATAGTCGCACACAAGATAGAGACGGGTGATGCTGAACCTAGTTTACCCCTAGCTAAGAGGGAGGAGGCTGTCAGAGCTATTGATGAGATGAAGTCTCAAGGAGTGATAGAGCCAGCATCAGGAGAATGGGGTTCAATGATTGTACTCGTTAAGAAAGATGGCAGTATGCGTTTTTGCGTGGAATATCGATGTTTGAATCGGGTGACAAAGAAAGATTCTTACCCGCTTCCTCGTATTGACGACATCTTAGATGCATTGACGGGCTCCCAGTGGTTTTGCGCCCTTGACCTGTATTCCGGATATTGGCATCCTCGAAGGAAGAAAGGTGTATCACCTAAATTGATGTCAGACTTGTGAGACCCTTACTCTGTTCTAAAGAAGATAAACGATGTAGTCTACAGGATCCAGTTGACGAAAAGGAGTAAACCAAGAGTGGTTCACAGAGAACGTCTTTGCAAGTACAAGGGACAGAAGGAGCCCTGGCTCCATGTAAGTGATGATAATTGTTCTTTCATTACCGTAGCAACTAGCAACACAAATTAGTACTGAGGAGCATTCCAAGCTCAGCGAGAGACATCAAGTGTGACAACCTGATGATGCTCTGGATGAAGAACCCTCGAGAGAAAACAGTCACGAGCATCAGCATCGTCAAAGGAAGTCTCCCAATAGATATGGTTGGGATTAGCTGGTAACTTTGACAGCTGTGTATCACGGTTATCACATTGTCTATAATTGTAGTGGATTACATTTACACATAGTTATGGATTATTATTTTAAATCAAGGATATTGTTATGGTTAAGGACTTGGTTTTCATTAAATTCCTTGTTTGTTAGGTTTTAATGGTTATGCTTACGACTAGCTGGTTCTTTTCACATTAGCAGAGCTAGAGTGCTTGAAAGTCAGTACCTGTTTCCAGCAGGGATACAGCACAGTTCTGTGTGGGAAGTTTTCAGTGAAGTTGCTGTGTAACTGCTTATAAAACAAATATGGCAGAATTCTTTTTTTTTTTGTATATTGAGATTATAATAAGTTTTTATAATAATATTGCCACAACCTAGTTAGTTGCATTTTCTCTTATTACGGCTATTTATATGAAAGCCAATTTTCTGCATGTGTATACCTAATATACGCATATATGGTTTTACCACTCTGGTACACCTTTTTCTGCAAAAGATGTTATTTTGTTGCAGAAATATCTACTTGGAAGCCAGAATTGGATGGCAGATTTTCTCCATCACGTAGCTGAGGCCTGACGAGCAGATAGTGAGGTACCTTACCGAGGAAGCTTCAAGCCAGGACGCGAGATGCCAGTACCGCAAGACGCCGGGATGCGACTTTGCGTTTTACACCCTGGCCTGGACCTTTTCCCAATAAATTTCAAGGAACCGACTGGGAAAAGTCTATCCATGACAAGATATTGCGCGCGCACGTAGCTCTTCTGCAATGCTCAACGTACGTCCTATATGTCCAGTGTCGCGGTACGCGGTACATGTACTTTTGTATCGAGACGTACGAGTGAGAGAAAAACAACGAATAACAACAGAAGGAAATAGAGAAAAACAATAAATAATTAAAGAACAGAGAGGAAACAAAGAATGTCATAAGCAGAGAGAGAAAACAAAAACTAACTTGAAAGAAAGAGAGAAATTAGAGAAGGAATTAATCAAAGTAAGGAAAGAGAGAAACCAAATAATATTATGGTTTTTGTGGTTTAATTCCGCCTTCTTCAGGGTCTCAATTTTTGACGTGTAGCCTACTTTCAAACCATTTGCTGATTCGGACCCCCCCCCCTCCTAACACACGTGTACACATATCGACACATACACAAACTACACTCGACATAATATGTGTAATGGTAATGTAATACATAAACTGTGATTTAAATATTGCACTCGTACCATTTTCTATTATTGTGGGATCACGTCTTTCATTTTTTAAATTCATGTCATTTGTTTCTAAGACCTAATTTCTCTAATTCTCTTGACCCCTCTCCCTTCATATTTGTTTTCTAAGACCTCCCCCCCCCCCCCTCATCTCTCTTCATATTTGTTTTCTAAGACCCATTTCTCCCCTGCCCCCCCCCCCCCATCTCTATTCATATTTGTTTTCTAAGACCTCTCTCTCTCGACCCACTCTCTCTCTCGTATGTAGCATGTACGATTCGATTTGGAACTGGCGCGCCCGATCGAGGAGCGTAGACTAGACTCATTCAAGCAGTTTCATTGCTATTTACCGGGAAAATGTCCAGGCCAGGGTGTAAAACGCAAAGTCGCCGCCGGGATGCCGTCCCAAAGTATCTTCACGCGTGTTGGATGAGCGAATCTGGTCTCCATGGCAACGCGTGTCGGATGAGCGTATCTGGTCTCTATGGCAACACGTGTCGGATGAGCGTATCTGGTCTCCATGGCAACGCGGTTCGTGTTTATAATGGTGAACAATTTTGATAATGCCATGCAATTTTATGCAGCCTTACGAAATCCATCAAACTTTGAAAACTTTTATAGTGAACACTTGCATGGACTATAAGTGGAATTTCATCTATTGCATTGATCAGAGGAACAAATAATTGGTGACAGGACTTCATTTAGCTGAAGCAACTTTGGAGACGCAAATGAACTTAAGGAGTCAAACACTTATTCCATTGTGCTGCTGAACTTTACGAATAAACCAGTCGAATGCATAACTGAGGGACCAACAATTTGGTGTTATTAGCATTCCTCGATATCGAACTTGTGAAGAGAAACACAAATATTGTTAAGTGTTCTTATACAGGAGGATTTGTAGGAATCACATTACTATGATGTATCAAAGAGAGTAGAAAGAATGAGAAAACTGAAGTGGCTTTCTCGCATTAGGTGTAATCACAGATGAGCGATTAACTCATCTGAACTCGAAATGTAGAATTGATTTGTGCCGTTCTGTAATAACAGATAATAGCAAATGGACGCTTTGCCTTTTTTTTTTCTTCTAAATGACTTAAAGTCATTTTGAAATCTATGGACAATCATGCATGATCATGTTTTTACAAGATCAGGTTATTTTGTAAAAACAATTTTGTTTTGTATAAATTCTTCTATATTGGCAGTTGAAATGAGCGTTTCCGCTTTGGCATATAAATTCAGAGTATTGTTATGTTTTTTTTTTCCAGGGTTGTACTTATGTGTTGTTGGCAACTCTAATTTTGCTAACCAAACCAGTTTAAAATGAACCGAGATATCCCATTTGTTGTTACCAAAGAGGACGAATACCAAACTTGATGGTTATACCAGAATAACCTTTAACTTTTGCCATATTTAAAGGTGATATTGAAAAGAAAAAAAAAAGTGTTTTTGTTTATATCCAGTTTTGTTTGTTCTATAGTGATTATTACTTAAGTGTGCAACAGGCTGAACATGTTGACCAGAGTCACCAGACTGATGTGGAACAACAATTATATTCACGTATGATGTATTTTGTTCTGGTATACTGAGAGTTGAAGTCCAGTTTATTGTATTGATATTTGAAATTTACGATCAATGATATCAGGTAAGATGCATATGCTGCATGCTTTGTCTCATTTTGCATGTGCTTTTATGTATGCATTCGCCACAACCTAAGAATTGTTTTGTGAGGCTGAAACAAAGGTAAGTTATGTATGTTTATAAATGACTGTGCCATGCTAATGTGCTACTTTAGAAATTATGATGATTTCTTTCAGGTTTTCCTATTCTGCGTTTTCCATGCTTCACATTTTTAATGATGTTGTTATTTTTTTAGATTTAGTATTTTACATTTCTTGTTATCTTTATTGTTGTTTTACTGACAGGTTCCTGTTTTGAAGTTCCTAGTGTTGAACGAGACGTTCAAAGTTAAGGAGGGGGCAGTGTTACAGAAATTGGATGCTCGAACGATTAAAAAGGGAGGTCTGAATAGGATACTAGCTTTAATTTGGGCGAGGTTTTTGGGAGTGTGTAAAAGTTTGGAGCTGAGGCCGAGGTAGTTTTGAGACAGACAGATTTTGGAGAACTTAGAGTTAGGAGCTGGGAGGATGTTGCTCGGGAGCATCATCAATTAGCCAAAGGGCAAGAACTAGTATAAATGTGAGTTAAGTGTAACTGTTATTAGGTTGTGGCAAGTAAATATATTGGATATCACCACCATGTTTCTTGTGAATAAACATCAGTTACTTAAAAATCATTGTTCGATAACTCCTTTCTCTCAGAGACTGTAGTTACTAATTGTATGTGTGTATGACTTGGCCCTGGCCTTGCGTGAGCATTAATTTAGGCTAGACTAAACATCTACCCCTGCAGTCTTTAAATTCCCCATTTTCTTATAAAAGAATTCCCAAAAGTTATTACAATAGTTTAGTTTTAATATTTGTTTCTCTTCTCAAACCAACCATTTCTAAAGGTATTGCATAGTTATCGAATCTGTCTGTGTAAAACCTCATGCCAAATGAAGTAAATTCTCCTAATCAGAATCGAATGGTTCGAAAGCGTTTTAGGCCTTAAAAGTGTTCAAGCAAATTTTCATTCAGTTTATTAGAAAATGTATTTGAAATAATTTCAGGAAATATGAAAGATTATTACCCGTATCAGACATCTGAGCTGGTCATTTACAAAACCGTATTGCCCTAGTTTTCACTAGCAGTGGGAACGTAGGGGTATATTCTTTGTATTTTCCTTGGTCTCCCTGCGCGTATTGACTTTACGTGTAGAGACGAGTGAAAATATACCTTGGTATTTTCCACGGTCTCGCATCTTGTATTGACCGCGCCGTATTTTGTCATTTTCATTGCGCATCTATTATGCGTACGAGAACCTGCGCACTTTGCGCGCACTCTATTGTGACGTAATAATCACACCAAATGCACACTGTTTGCAGTGTATCGAAAATGTTGTCAAGTACTGGATGCACAGTGCTGGTTTGACAAAGTTTGTTTAGTTCTTGAGATTGTCATGGTGGATTTCTGTATTTGCTCTAGATGTCTGATTTGGATAACAATAAAAATATTGACTGGCTTTACTTTCAGGGTATATCAGAAATATTGACCGCGCTAAGACCATATTGCCCTCGTCTTTCGACTCGGGGCAATATGATCTGAGCTTGGTCAATATTTCTGATATACCCCTCAAGGCCAGTCAATATTATATAATTACAGAATTGTCAAATGTGGTAAATGTATACAATGACACAATATAAACAAAAACGAAGGAGTTTCGACAGGGTTATTAGGAACATTTACTAATTTCATCAAATTTTGGTAACACTTTTAAATTTCATTTTCAGAAGAACATTTTCTTTTCTTAGACCTTAACTGAACGAAATTTGTGGAGCAGGAGGCGAAGGTGCAAGGAAGCACATGCCTGTGCTGAATGTGGATAATATAGGCCTAAAATATATTACAGTAAACCTCATACATGTATACTTAGAAACACATGCAATAGAAATATCAGGAAAGAGAGAAGAAAACAAAGAAATATATATATACATATTGCAGGAGACGCTTAAATTCGACTAAATGACGAAATGCATGCTCATACAATGTGGATTTGAATACCCTTTTGTACAGTGGGTATAAAAAAAGTGTACCGAAATTCGTTAAATCTATTTCATGATAAATAGTATTTTTGTTATGTAATTCATAATATTTCTGCCACGAGTGATTGAGCACCATGGTCTTTAAAAAGTTTGACTCATTACGCGTGACTGTGAAATGGCGCAGCGGACAAGTAAGCACCTTTCTTAATACGCACTGTTTATCCCATAGCAATCATGCGTGATGGTAGGATTATGCAATCAGTCGTTGAAATTAATGTTCGCACATTTTACAGGGTAAGTTTCTTATGTTGATTTTTCTTGAGTTCTTGCGAAAATGTTAATCATGTATGGAAACAATGGCATACTCTGAAGAAGAAAAATTAAAATGGCGACATACCAGAACACTTGCCCAAATTCCCAGTGCGACATAGCCTAGCCCGGTGCCGAGGAGCAATTCGAAAATGGCGACGGCGGCGCTCCCGATACCAAGGGAGAGCTGCAGCCAACCAGTCACTCTCCCGGTGGCTCCGTTAAAGTTCGGCGACACACCGCTCGACGAGTTAGGGTTCTGCACCGTGGTGGCATAGCTTGCTGGAGCGGGCTGGGTGGGATCAAACGTGGCCTGCATATCAGAGGTAACTTGCTGTGTAAGGTAAGAAAGTTTTGTAAAAACCAAAATGTAAACAATTTTTAAACCGAAAACCTTAGCGGTTTTAGGAGCTAAATTATACAATAAATTAACCTATCATATTAAAAATTGTAAGTCGCTGCAAAGTTTTAAAAGAATGTCAAAACTTTTCAGTTTCCCTTGTAAACATCTTTTCACGTTAATTTAACCTTTATTAATTACATTTCCTTCATTTAGTTTTCTCAATGTGATAGTTGTATTTTTCCCCTTATAATTGTTAATGTGTGTGTTTTGTTACCTATGTTTAATCTTTCTTTGTTTTCCTTTGTCTTATCTATATGAATTTTAGTTGAATTGTTGTATATGCCATGTATATTTTACCTTTGTATGTATGTTTTGAATCCATGTTGTTATTGTACATGTTTTGATGTGAATGCAGGGCTCTCTGGGAGAGCAGGTCCAGAAATGGACTTGAATGAGACCACCCTGTTGAAATAAAACTATAATAAAATAAAAAAATAAAATGAAATAAAGACTGAACATAAGTTTAGAAGACCAATAATAGGGTTAAAAATACACATATAATAATAATAATCATATTCTTTTAAAGTCCACTCCAAATTGTATTAAGTTAAAACCGAAAATGGATTTTTTTTTTTTTTTTTTTTTTTTTTTGGCCAATTGATCGTGAGCCCGGCAGCCACTGAGCAGCGCCAGATCGACTTTGCTCTAACCCTTTATTGTTGAACTCCAACCAAGGTAGCAGCACCTCCCGTCTTTTAACGTCTTTAGGTATGACGCGGCCGGGGTTCGAAACCACGACCTTCCCGATTGTGCGGCGGACGCTCTACTGACTGAGCCAACACACCGGTACTTGTATTTGCCATTTGAGGACTGTAGGATAGTTTTCCCTGTGAACTACCACCTCCTCACAATCTTGACAAGGAAGAAAAGAGGCGAGAATTCCAGAAGGTACAGGTTTCTGATGGGTACTCCTTATGCGCTATGAGATTTTGTTTAATGAATTAAAAATAGCAGTCAAAGGCAAAAATGAAATCGAATTTACAAAAGATTAAACATCGACATTAGAATACAATATATTGAAAACTGGTGAGATAGAATACCGCAATAGGCTTAGAAATATACATAGGAGGTATAACATTGCACACAACAAAATAAACAAGGAAATGGAAAAGACTGGGTAATGAAAAGGACATATGAGGACAAGATAAAGCTTGAAACAGAAGAATAGGGAGAAATTAAAAACATCTTTGTTTGATTAAAATCAGTAGAGAGACGGCTGAAATATTTATAAATATAGTTATTTCATGAAGTGCCTCAAAAAAGTAAAAATCCTTGAGTGAATTATTTTTCCATACTCATTTTTCCCAATGTTCTGTAAGTCGCGGGCGCGCGAGCGTGCGTGAAGTTATCGACTGTAAAATCGACTTCACGCACGCTCGCGCGCCCGCAACCTGTCCCTTCGTCGGTATATGCACTATGAACATGTCTGACAAAGAAAGCGGACAAAATAAACAGTTCCTCAGGTAGACAAAGAAACATCCCTTCACTGCTATTATGTAAAAATGTGTAGAACAGGTGTCACATGCATATTCACCTGTTCTTCACATTTTTACATAATAGCAGTGAAGGGGTGTTCCTTTGTCTACCTGAGGAACTGTATATTTTGTCCGCTTTCTTTGTCAGTCATATTCATAGTGATGGTACACGTACATGCAATTGATTTGTTGTACGTTTTAGTAGGCTCCACGCCGGTTTTATATGTAAAAAATAGATACGAAAGTACACTAGCGCCAAAACCGTTAGGAAAACTAACAATGAAGTTTCGATTTCCCATCATAAATATCTTGATAATCTGACAGCGATCGGCTTGTAAAAGTCGTGGGATTCCTGACTGACCTAAAGGTTTATAATTATGATTGCAGCATGAGCTGAACCCAGGATTTTGTTTCAGAATTTGAGGAAAAGGTCAACCTAAAACACAACTGCAATAAAAGGACCACAATTGATTATTTGACTTGTTGATTTATATTTTCCCTTAGATATTTCACTAGCCTCGAAAAGAAAAGAAAACATCGCCTACGGATCAACCATGAAAAGTGTTCAAACATAAAACAGTGGTAACAATAGATCATTTATAATGCGTCAGCCATTTTTACCACTGTGTGGGAAGTACAGAAAGGGGAGCTGTGTGACACAAATATGTGGCGTACGTTTTAACAACAAAAGATGAAATGTAAATATCACTAATTATAGCATATGGCGTCAAAGCGCATTGCCATCGTAGTATGACGTATGCATTCATTGGCGACAAGAAATATGGTGCATATTTACTTGCATGCAATGTGTACCCTTAGGTTTGTGAGGCGATGGAGATTTTTGCCACCGCCATATATCAAGTAAAAATAAATAGAAAAATGTGTTCTTTTCATGTTCTTTCCTCTATTGCAATTTTCTTGTTTTTGTATTTATTTTAATTTTATTATTCTTGTTTTTTCTGTGATTTCCTTTAATAAATTTTGGTTTAATGTATCGTCTTATTTGATCGTCTATTCACGGCCTTCAATGCTGAAAAGCAGCTAATTTCTCGGTGAAAAACAGTAACAATAAATTTAACCCCGTGAAAACATCATAAAATTGATCGGTTATAAACATGCCAGTGCTCTTATTATTGTTATTGTACCCCTTTTCTTTGTACATTTTAGAATGTCCAACGTCTTGCTCTGGTGAATAAATGATAGTTAAATGATATAAATATGTAAAGCGCTGTTTTTCCCCCAAAAATGCCTTTAGTTAAACATTCATATATTAAAACCAGTGGCGGATCTACGGGGGGGGGGGGGTAGGAGGTTTAACGCCACTCCATATGGAAACGTTGTATCATCCGCTCAATCTGATTTGCGTGCATAGAACAAATAAGCATTTTTCCTTGAGAAAGTGAAGTTTTCTAAAATGTGCGTTTCTTTCCAGCTTTGGGGCGCCTTGGGTAGCATTTCATAAAGTATAATATAAAACGACCATATACAAATTTTCTGTACTTTTGTCGGAAAAATACATTTATCCAGCACAATGTCGTCTCTTTTTGCACTGGAGAAGAGCAAATAGCGAGTTTCAATCACACTTTGAACGCTCTCGCAAGCTCTCACTCGTATCACTGTGGTCAAGCGACTTTGGGGCAAGCGGTTAATGAAAATAGTAATCGTTAGCTTTCTTCTGGTATTAAACTTGTTTTGATTGATTGTATAATTTTGTCGGAATAAAGGAAACAAAAAGGCTTGACCAATAATTTATCAGCGTCTGAATTGACCTTTTGACCTTGAATTCCCTGATGCAAGCGCACTAATGACGTCAACTTCGCTAAATCGGTGTCTTTCATCGTAAAATGCTACACTTTCACAATGTTTATACATCTGTTTTAATTATTAGTAAGATATATCATATTTTGTCTGATATCACTGAAGTTTTGGGTTTTATTAAATGAGTAATTTTTAAATAAGAGCCATTTTACTGTTTTAATTTACTGGATCGTACCATTAAAGTCGCAGGGTAGAAAGATGCATTTTCCAACCGCGCCAAATTTAATTTACGTTCCGGCATTCTGTTAAATGGGTTCGTGTTGTAAGAATCCACTGCTTTCTGCTCCACCAAACGTGCACATGCGGAGTCGTTTATCAACTAAATTATTCAAATTTATGGATGCTTCCCTCCCAGGTGTTTGTTGTTGAAGCATTTCATTCACCTGTTATCATTCTTTGTACTCCAATTGCCAGAACGCAAATTACATTTTGGTTTTAGTTTCATCGGAGTCGTTTATAAACTAAATTATTCAAATTTATGAATGCTTCCTCCCCAGGTGTTTGTGATGTTTATGCATTTCATTCACCTGTTATTATTCTTTGTACTCCAATTGATAGAATACAAAATGCATTTTGGTTTTATAGTTTCATGCAATAAGTAAGTCAATAAAAGAGTATGTTCGGCACATTAAAAACAATGTGTGTCCCTATTGTACAATGTAATGTGTCCCCTCATTTTGTAATAGTTAATTTACCCATTCACATAATGGAACTACCTGCCCGATGAAGCCAGTGGCCCGTGACCCCTGAGCACTCAACATCGTGTGGGAGTCAGTTTGTGGTTAACTTCTTTTATGAGACAAATACAAGCAAACGTTTCCATATGCCCCTTCGGGCTGCCAAGTGAAAATGTGATGTGCATAGAAAAACGCTATCATATGTCCAGACCCACACAGAATTAGTAGATGTTAGTAGATGCTAGGAAAACATCACTTGGTCAACCCCCCCCCCCCCCAGCAAAAAGATAGATCCGCCCCTGAAAACTAATATTTTACATGCTATACAGTACCGGTCAAGTCTTTGGTAATTGAAATATTTATATATGTGCCTAATTACACAAAATTTGTAGGTCTGAGTTAACAGAAGCTACTTTAGAGTAAGCATGGTTGAGGATGGAGGATATTGTGTAAAAATGGAAGGAAAATTCCAGAGACCAAGATGTCAACAAATTCCCACAATTCTCCTTATCTGAACCACGGGGAGATGACTACCATTCATACACCGAAATCGATATATTTGTTAACATACATTCATCTCCAAATAATATAACCAACATATTTTTTTTTAATGAGTTGAAACGTAAGCGGAGCAAGCAAGAGATTTATCGTGTACAGTACGGAATATTGAAAATGCTCAATGCTAAAAAGAAATTTCTTGTACAAAACTAAACCCAAGTTACCCTACACAATGAAACGATGAACGAAATGGTGCTGATATGATTCTGTACAGAATAATTTAAATGAAAAGTCATAAAACGGATTATCATTCATTCTAGCACCAATATTCTAAACAGCTGCAATGGAGTGAGTATTATTTTCGGCACAGTTTAATGCTTATTTTGTCCCAAATTTTCATAATGATCTGGAATACATGAGGTCACCTATATCATTCAGTAATTACAGAGGTGTCGAGATGTACAAGCCTACCTACACCATGACCCTTCTGAATTTTCCAATTATAAAAAAAATACAAAAATTCGCGACCTTTAATAGTACTTATACAATAAGATTTCTAAAACTCATTGGAAGCACATTTACTATACAAGAACAGAATAAGTATTGTTTAGTATAACAAATTTGATGATTTTTATTCATGATCAACAAAATATCAAATACTTAATACGCGTTCTCTATCATCTCTTGCTAACGGTTATTATGATATATTTTGTACCTTCTGAGGATTCTCCTTCATCAGAGCCGTATCATGGGGAGAACTACACCAGATGTTAAATTCGCATCCTTACCATTGACATAACTGTGTACCTAATATTTCCAATAAGCCTACATAAATGTTCCCATCAACAAAATGGAGACTAAAAGTAGATTAACAAATGATAATGATCTCATAATTTAAATTATATCAGCAGTAAGATGATACTTCACAACATTCATTAATACTATTTCAGTCAAAACACCCGCACTAAATTTTGCTGGGATTATTGCGCCAATATATATTTTTAAAAACAGATAAGACTTACCTTGGGTGTCTCTTCAAAATTTCTGCCTCAAACCAAGTCCTTTAATGATGCTGTATAATCACACAAAATGCAGTAAAAATTATATATTATTATTTATATAAGGCTTCCAAGTGGTACAATAAATCACTGAATTCAATGTCGTTTGCGCACTACTCGGATGACTGACTAATATCGTTTTCGTATTGCTCAGTCATCCGGAAACTTCATCTAACGATATCGGTATCGATATCACACACAAAAAAGACATATTACCGAGGTAAGTCAAATTTCGTTATTTCGCTAATCAGCCTGATATAGATAATAATAATAATAATAATAATATATTGCTTTGTTTGCGCATGATACAAGAATATATTTCTCTCGCTTTGACATTATTGGATCGTCTGCGACTCGTTCTATATTGTCATAGCTCGAGCAATTTATTCTTGTATCACACTCAAAGCCATGCAATATTATATGAATAATACTGCGAGCGATATTTACAGAAGAAAAATGGACCCGGTTGTGGATGGAGTGAGTGATTTTATACTGACGTATTCGAGCAAATATTTTGATGAAATGGAATGCATTGGGTAATGACGAATAAACATTGGACGGATGATCAGTGTAGTGGGCGACAGACCTGCGGTAAATTCATCTTTAATAACATATTGATATATGATTCTGGATGTATCATATTCATTCCCATTTGGTTCGATTTCAAAATTCTATAGAAGAGGTTAATTTAATTGTTTACCCAGGGAGTTTCCACTCCGAACTCTCTGATTTACCACTACCTCGGATTCGTGTATGTATGAAATGTTGCAATCTCCAGAACCCTCCCGGCTCACCCTCTTTCTCTCTCTATCTCTCTCCCTCCCGCTTTCTTGTCTACATTTCTATGTCTTCATTGGTCTCTCTCTCTCTCTCTCTCTCTTTTCGTCCCTCTCATTTTCGTATCCTCTATTGCCACCCTACACTTCCTTTTCTTTCTAGGTCCCTTCATGTCAGAGATTCCTGGTCTCTCTCTCTCTCTATCTCTTTCCCTTCTCCCTGTCTCTCTGTCTTTCCCTCAATCGCTCTGTCTTTCTTGGTCTCGACCCCCCTCTCTCTCTCACTCTCATCCCCCCTCTCTCTCTCTTTCTCCCTATCTTTCTCCCTCTAATCCCTCATCCTATTTTTTTTCTTGCAATTAATCTGCCTTCCTATGTGTGTGTGTCTCTCTCTCTCATTCTTTATTGATTTCTCCCTCTCTTTTCCTTGATTCCCCTGTCTCTCTTAGTGTCCCTATTTCTCTCTTTCTGTCTTTCTCTTCATTCCTCAGTCTGTTTCGGCCTCTCTCTCTCTATCTCTATCTTTGTCCCTCTCTTTATCTTATCCTCTAGTTTTAGCTTTAATTCCTTTTTTTTTCTTTTCTTGTTTTGTGAGCATGTCTCTGTCCCTCTCCTTCTCTCATCCTCTTTTCTTCCCTCCATTTAGCGGCGGATCCGGGGGCTCGGCTCCCTACCGTGGGAAAAACATGTAAATTATTTGTTAATAAAGAAAGACCCCCTCGACTGGTGCTCAAGGGGAGAGGGGCGATTTTCAAATTTTGGGGGCAAAAATAAATAAATTAGTGCTCCCCCCCTTATTACCGGCTGGCTGTTTCGTCGCTCATTAATTTCTCACGAAGTGGGCCCTCTCTTTAGCTCCCTCCCCTGTCGTCGACTGGATCCGCCCCTGCCTCCATTCCCCTCTCTTCAAAGATGTCTACTCTCTCTCTCTCTCTCTCCGTGGTCAAGTTAGTGATGACTGGTTGATACGAAATGATCAAAATCGAAAAGTTTATTGTACAGATGACACGTTTACCGCAGGCTGTACCTCAGTGAATGATACACCAAGCATTAAAAGTTATATCAGATATGTTGCATTAAGCTCGAGAATATTACACGAGTCGAAGACGAGTTCAAATATTGACAAGCTGAATACAATATCTGATATACCACGAAACCAAGCCATTATTATTATTATTATTATTATTATTATTATTATACATTAAAAATTGAACTACAGTGAAACTAAAAGGAATGAAAAGATCACTTTTTTTCATAAATGTTTATATTCTAAAAACAGTTCTATAAAATAAAGATTTAAAATAGTGAAGCTTCGAATTTTACAGCTGCTCCAATATTTCATCTACAAAAAACATAGAAAAACAAATATGAAATGTGTCTCTTACAATACGCGCCTTGTACGATTTGAGAATTTAAGTAAATATAAAAAGTCTCAAAAATGATATTTCAGAAAGTAGAAGTTTCAGCTGAAGGTATTTCGTGTGCCCCGGGAACCTAAGCATATAATACGACTTCGGATATAGCAAGAGTCATTTAACAAAAATTAAAAGATGATAAGAATGAGCACGGAAGAAGGCAAGATGTAAGGTGTTGTATTGTTCAATGCATCGTTTATGTAATGTCAACGAATCTAAAGTTCAGATTGTTTTAAAATAACATATACTAATTTTAATCGATGTGATTTTTGAGTTCTTCTTTTTGTTCATTTCTGTCTGTTGTACTTTTGTATAATTCGCCTTATTAAATTCTAAATTCAAACAGAAAAATACAGTAAACACAGTACACAACTTAAATTACCCACCTTTTTATTTGTAAAAGGAATCTTTTCCCTTTTCATTAGTTTTCTTGTTTTAACATTTGTCATGTTAATGGCACTTTGTTTTGCGTTTCAGACACTGAACAACGATAATTCCGAAAGACAACGATTCTAAAAGAAATTGATATTCTACAGAATAGAGTTGTAGACTTACATAATGGCGCGTTTATTATCATTCTAAATAAACTACTTCATTAATTCACTACACGCAGGATTATGAACTTATTTGAAATTTCATGCCACGTACGCATTGATTTCTCTTATGTTTAGAATCCAGCAAAGACCAATTTCACACAATTATCTGAAATTCTTTTGACTTCAAAGCATCTTTTGTCTTAAATTCTCATCGATCTTCGTCAACTTAATTAATTGACGAATTGATTACTTCCAAAATGACAGTCAAAAGATCGAAAGGCACAACATTAATATATCATCAGGTAAAAAACCCTAAGGCTACTTATTTCCAAGGTTATAGCGTTACAGAATTAACATAAAAACAAACGGTTTCAATCTATATCGAAGTTAAATTAATATTTCTTCAATATTTTTTTTACAATTTCTAATGCTCTTGTTTGGTCCTCTGAATTAACATTTTGATGATTTATAAAGCACTTGGGGGGATATCAGCCCATTTATTTTAAATGCAGTATGCATAACTTTTCGTCTACAAGTTGGCTGGTTACATATTTTTCGCACTGTGACATTCAGTTGTTTTATGCTGTTAATGTTGTTTGTTGTTGATATTTTTGTTATTTTAGCAGATCTTTCTGTGCAGTCATCAAGAGTAGTCAATTGAAGCCCAGCCGCCTAATAAATAGTAACAAAAGGGTTCTCTATTTCTCACGTTGGGTGGAATGATGGGGGGGGGGGGGGATTTCAGCTTCACGTAATGAATAGAGGACACTTATTTTACTTCCATACCACATACTTTTGTTTAATATAGTTTGCAATGATATATCATTTAAGCCACCCCCTTGCTAGAATAATTAGTAATTTATTATTTTCATCATCAAGCATTAGTTTGACGTGGCTTTAATTTAATGATCCTGTCAGGATAACATTTTTTGTATTAACTTTATCTATCAAAAAAGATCAGCCATTATTTTAGTTTTTTCCCCATCATCTGCTATCTTTTATTTACCAATTGGAGAAATTAGATAAAAAATGATGTAAAATTATGATCACTGTATCACAGCTAACAATCAAAACAACTCTCTTCAGAAAATTAAAAAATTGTGAGGATGATCTACTTTTTCTCTGAATATCCGTGCGTCTCAGAATAGGCTTGCATTTTATTTATCAAAAAGTTAGCTATTGCTTGTTATTCCCAATGTAAGCATTTAGATATCAGGGTAGTTTTATTATTAAGACCAATTTTCTGAACGCATTTAAGCCACCACTTCGCCAGGTTTGATGGATGCAGCAGCTGCTTGTTGGTTGTACGGGGCACCCAGAGCTTGGTAATGTGGGGCACTAGCCTGGTTGTACGGGGCACCAGGAGCTTGGTTGTACGGGGCAGTAGGAGCCTGGTTGTACGGGGCAGCAGGAGCCTGGTTGTACGGGGCACCAGGAGCTTGGTTGTAGGGAGCTGGAGCAACAGGCTGGCCAGCAGGGGGATAAGCCTGCTGAACGTTGTATCCGGGAGGGAGCTGAACGATTCCCGCCGGCTGAGTGTACTGGCCTGCGTAGAGACAATGGGAATTTAAGGAATTAGTATTATACTTTCCCTTTTTACATTAATAAATCGCGATTAATAAACTGATTGTATAGTGCAGAGTAACATTGAAATTCAAAGAAACTGAACGGAAGTTCAATCAAGTTATCGATAATGAAGCGTATTCATAAACAATTAAGCACATTCATTTCAGAATATTAACCATAACTGTGAAGTATTATAACTTGCAAAACTTGTTAACTTTTTGTACATGTATGTGGACAAGTTCAAGGTTTTGTTTCCGATACGTTACCGGCCATATTTCAAAGATTGTCGTATACCTTAAGTTTGTCACCAGTTTATAAAATTTTTAGTTGGCATCTGACAATAAATCAGGTATAATTAATAATTTCAGTGTTTATCATGGGTATATTCTAAATACCATGAAGCTTAATGACAAATGGGATAGAGAATTACACTTGCTAACATTTCACACAGAATCTAGCATTTAATGATAAAAAGGTGCATCAAATAAGGTATTATGAAACATTTTTCCCAACCCTCAAAAAAAAAAAAAAAAAAATGGAAACATAACTGTTTAGTACATTCTTCTATGTCTAAACTCATAATGAGTGTTCTTTGATTCTTTGTACTACCGATAACCTTAATTTCTTTTCAGGACAGATTCAGTGGATCGCTATATACATGTATCAGTGTGTTTGAAATATTGTATTAATCATTTCCGCTTGTGGACCATTTCAAAAATCACATGGTTTAAACTCTATTTGATTAGGCTCTGATATTGCTAGTATCACAGCCTATACTTCCTACCGTTTCCTTTCTATATGAACTAATGGAAATACCATGTTTGTTACAAAGTAACTATAGATTGGAGTTGAAACAAGAACACAAACAATTGATATTTACATACCGGTTGTCACAACCATCGGAATGTTCTGGTGGGTGTACTGCAAAGGAAATTGAAACAAGTACAAATAAATGTAAGATACAAACCAAATGAAATAAACAATGATAATAGCAATAGACCTATTCTTCTTTTGTATATTTTACAATACATGTGATCAACTAATACTCTGTTGGACATCATTATTCTGACTTCACATCTTGTTGCTGTAGCGTATAGCATGTGATCATGGCAATGAATACATTTATCAGAAACCATTACTTCCGCTTGATTAAGAGTAGCAAATGTATATTTATGTCTTGCCACATGCCATTGGTGCCATGTAGGGGCAATCATATCAATTGGCAAATCATGTCCTTTGGCAGTATAAAATGTCCGTTGTGCAATGCGGGAGCTCAAACCCGCGACCTTCGTAGGTTCGTAGTTCCAGTGAAGTCATACTACTTGATTGCTATTATACTAAAAAATGGAAACAAAAAATATGATATTTTTTGATTTAATCAATCTACCCGTTTTATCTTTTTAAATAGGGTCTTGTTAAATATCTGGTTAAAGGAGCGTCTCTGCAAAGTTGAAAAATTCCTGAAATCTACTGACAAGCAGAGCAAAACGACAACAACAAATCCCGGCCATTCAAAGCCTTTTGCAAATGGCATACAGCCTTAAATAAATTTAGTAGGGATGGCAACACCGCGTGCCATCTCGACCTTTGCTCCCTATAGGGAGCTTCTGTTAAACCAAAGGTGCTGAAATTCACCTGTAATGGAAATAAACAGCTACAAATATAAGTGGTTGTATTTCTCTTGTGACAATGGATTCCAACATTTTAGCGTGGATTTTCCACTTTAAAGAAAAGGAAAATAACCTGACTCTCCACACAAGAGAGTGTTTGTCTACCCCTGTATATTTAGGGGTTATAGGACAAATAACTCACCATAGTGGTGGTAGTTGGTGAAGACGAGTGACAACAGGCCATGCCACCACAGCAGTAGGCTGAAGCCACAATGGCTACCACCATTTCGATCAGGCCAAGGATGGCCAACAGAGATTCAGATGCGATGCCTCCTTCCTGTTAATCGAATTCGAATAGTTTAATTATTTATTAATTTATCTATTTATCTACCCATACATTTATTGATTTATTTATCATTTACCTATTCATTAACTTATATTTTCATTGTTTCATTTATCTATTCTTTAATTCATCCATTCATTCATTCATTCATCCATTCAGTATATATATTCATATATTCATAGTTATTTATTTATATATTGATTCATTCATGTATTGAATCATTTATTCATAATAAAAAATTCAAATAAAGTAATTTGAAACACTATAAATTTAAGAAAATCCATAAATGCATATGGAAACATAAACAATAGCCAATGGAAATCATAATAAAACTTAATTTCGATTATAATACTGAAAAGTGGAGAGAAGGATGATGGATGAAATGATTTTAAAAAACCGGGCCAATAAAAACCGAACGTTTTTATGTAGAAGCATTTATTCAGTTAATGATAATACTATTTCAAAATATTGATTAGAATTGAAAACGACAAAAAGCATTTGACACTGATGGGGTAACAGGGGCATAAAACATTTCATCTAAAGAATCATAGAGATAGATCAATAATGTTCTGAGAGGATAGCAAGCTATATATCAAGAATAAACCATATTGTAACAGTCATTTTATGGAAGGGCGTAAGGTTTAATGGGCAACATGCAGTCTGTATACGTACCGCTATTCCTTGTTCGGCAATGCCGGCATAGTGAAAGTAACTTAGATGAATACCGGTGATTACTGCCCCAATGGCACCAATAATTATTTGAGCGAAGGCAACATTTGCCGAGATGATACACATCGTAAGATAGCCGATGATCTAAGAAAACAACGTTTTAGAAATAATTTTTTTTTTGAAGTAAAAAAAAAAAGCAAAACAAATGAATAGAGTATATATTAGCGGAACCGATGTATTATTTCATGGTTGTAACGTATGTAGTTGCCTACTGTTGAGTAACACTACACAGTAAAAACGCTGCTTAAAAAAAGTGATGTTCACTTACAGTTGTACACTATCTTAAACAACAGTTGAACAAATTGCAAACAATGTTGCTCGAAACGAAAGTAATTTTGTTAAACATTCGCTGTTTAAAATTTAATGACTGCTATATTTGCTATACGAGAGCTTTTCGACAGTGTTGTTTACATATGACGTCATGTGTCACGTGCCAGTAAAGTGCGTGTTGGCTAAACGATTTATTTCACATCATGGCCGACATTCGACCAAGCTACCGACGCGCTTCTAAATGGCTTATTGAAATCACTTTTCTATTAACCAATTTGAAGTTTTTAACTTATAGCGTAAGTTCACAGTTAAAATGTTCAGTATCTGTACGCAAATGTCAGAATATAGGTAGACTTCAAATCGTCGCGTCATGCAGTGCGGCACTGATCGCGCACTCGGTTATAACGTGTGCTAAATTCCTTGCCATAGAGATTGCATGCATCCCTATATGCAGTTTATACGTGCGTGCATGCGCTCTCATGCAAAATGGGCACTGTTTTGGCGCTAATTCATACATTGCAGAATTACCCTACTATATTGTTAGTCTTCATATACCCATATAGAGACAAGAAATAGTGGTGCACTTATTCAGAGTATCAAACCCAAATTATACCCATTATACAAACCTTTTGTTGTAAACAACCCCCACTGAACAACAGCTCCTCAGTTTTAAACAACTTTCTTTAAACAACCCAGTTGGTGTAAACAACCCCCACTGAACAACAGCTCCTTTTTAAACAACCGTCTTTAAACAACACTGGTTGTTTAAATTGTGATTTTAAACAAGTTGTTCAAAATGTTGATCTACTAAGTGTTTAAACTTTAAACAACTCGAGATGCTTAACATTTTAAACAACTCTCAGATCAGATCACCCGTTAATCCGAGGTTGTTTAAACTTTTAAACAACTTGTTCACAAAAATGTTAACTGTGTATCATTTCCTCAGCTGCAATCGATTATACAAGTTTGTAACTGGCCTTGGAATACATTGAGAGTGTGGATGCGCTGGGCTCGGATGCGCGCGTGTGCGTGTGTATGTGTGTGTGTGCGGTATATGTTGGTTTGTTGTATACATAGAATGAGCCCTCGATTAACACAAGAAACGCGTATATGAAATGGGGTGATGGGTAATGAGTACATATTTCTAAATGAGACTAAAGGAAAACAAAAACATACATACCACACAAGTGTTCTTCTGCATCGAACATATTCCTAGGATACCGGTAGGAATGTAGAACTAGGAGAGGAGAATAAATAACAGCCATTAAAAATCACAATTACAAAATTCAACTAAATTTGTATATATCTCCATGTATGCTAAACAACCCATGGTTTTTTTTCTCTTAAAAAATTGCTAATATGGCCTCTGTCATCTTTTATTCCTCTCACAATTACAATTTGCTGAAATAAGATAAATATTTTAAAAAGTTCAAACCATTTCTTTTTAGCGTGTACCGTGTATTTATCTCTAGACAGACACAATTACAGTTTGATACTGATTTGGGAATTAGTTTTAACAAATTTTCAAATCATGGTCATGATTTAAAAGTCGTTATCTTTCGTGCCTGTTTCGTGACAATTTTCTTATATTTTGGGGAGTATTTTTCCTAACAACGAAGACATTAGTGAACATGCACTTTCTCACAGGTTTCACGGCAAACAGCTGCAGAATACAAGCGCATGCCGACGATGGGGTGCGGGCGCGCGCGTGTGTGAAGTTAGCGACTGTAATCTCAGATCCTCATCCATTTCATGCAGGTAATTCACATTGTGAATTGAAAATAATCATTTAAAAAAAGGGTTCTTGCCAAAGTGTTAATCACGTATGGAAACAATTGCATGCTCCAAAGAAGAACAAAACAAAAATGGCGACTTACCAGAACACTTGCCCAAATTCCAATGGCGACAAAGCCTAGTCCGGAATAGATGCGGGAAAAGATGACTAACTGGGCAATGGCGACGACGATGCTCCCGATGCCGATGGAGAGCTGCAGCCAACCAGTCGCTCTCCCGGCAGCTCCGTTAAAGTTCTGCGACACACCACTCGATGAGTTAGGGTTCTGCACCGTATTGGCATAGCTAACTGGAGCGGGCTGGTGGACGAAAACAGTCTGGCCCGGGACTCCGGGCTCGGTGGGATAAGACGTGGCCTGCATATCAGAGGTAACTTGCTGTGTAGGGTAAGAAGGTTTCGTAAAGACCGAACATGAGTTTTGAAGACCAATAATGTTTGCAATTTGAGGACTGTAGGACAGTGTTCCCTCTGGACTACCACCTCCTCACAACATTGACAAGTGAGAAAGGAGGCGAGAATTGAGTGATTGATTAATTGAACTTTGATTATTACTTTTTTTAAACATGCATTTAAAATAGCAGCCAAAGGCTGAAACAAATTCAATTTACAAAAGATTATTAATTACATTAGAATACAATACATTGAAAATTGAAATACAGTTATATGCATAGTAACGTATTAAGTAGGAATAACATTGCACCTCAAAATTAACACGGGAAGGGAAACACACTGAGAAATGAAAAGGACAGACGAGATAAGCTTGAGATAGAAGAAGAGGGAGAAATTTAGGTGAAGTAATCAAAAGAATTTAACCCGGAACAATTATAATTTAGATTCATTGGCAGTAAGGTTTTGAGACATTATTGAATCAACATTGGTATTTTGAATAACGACATAATTTCAACAAATGATGAGACATACTAATTGGAACACAAAGATATTGCAAGATAGCGAATACAAGTATTAATCGATAAGTATTGCAATATATGAGTCCTATATTCATTCGGCGTTTGATATAAATAATTTCGAAACCACATCCGACCCGTGGCTGTATATGCATGAATGAAAAACACACAGAAATCGGATTCATTTCAACAGAGCGCATCAATAATACATTAGTATAATTACGTGGGCAGAAATCGGCCATCACTACTACATACAACAAACTACGCCCTCATTGCTCCAGTAAACTACCTCAGACAACTACTCCTAGCACGAGTACCTTAAGATCATTAACTCCCTGCATGGTCACTGTTGGCTATGTAAAGGGCGCAAGTAGCTGCATGTAGTGCAGTCCCGCTTTAAGATATATCACAATGTTCTCCTTGGACAAACAAGAAGGTAGTGATCCGGGGATAAACTTATTAAGATGATTAAATCAATTATCCTAGAGGTAGGTCTATTGTTTTTTGGGGGGTAGTTGCACGTTATTGTTTAAGTTATTAGTTGTCCTACTGGAAGTAGATCGGGGGGGGGGAGGAGTAACCAGAGGACGATTAACGGAATGTTACTAATCCCAGGGTTACTAATCCCTCCTGGTCAAACTAGTGTAGATCAAACTAGTGTAGATGGGCTTTAATGGGATAGTACTAGAGGTAAATCATTTAAAGGCTTCTTAGGTGATTCGCTACATTTAAGGTGGTGTACCTACTGTCAATCAACACTATTTAAACGCTTTCGTTTGCCATTTATTTTTACGAATGATAGCCTATGATAACAAGTTAGTTTTCTAGAAAGTCCAATTTATATTTAAGTAATAGAGAGACTACATTTGTTAAAGAACATGTCTACACTCAGTCACTCACACTCGTTTCATAGGTACTATTACTCGATGTAAATTAATTTCCCTTTCTGTCTCTGTCTTTGTCTATTCTTCTCTTTCGTTTTGATATTCATTGTGGATTTTCTATACGGCGTATTCGGAAAACAAGACTCATTTTAATTCATGCCTGCTTGTGTTACTGTTGTGTTACTGTTAACATTTTCTTGAAATTAACTATGTCATTAAATAAGTAGGCTTTACAAATGTTTTACTTCAGTATTTTGTTAATATAAAACAAGATTTGAAAGAAAATTAATAGAATGATTTTGAAAGATTGTTGATATCCCCGCTATCTGTGAAGTGACCTATTTTAATAAATGATAAGTAACAGCATATATCTGCAACATAAAAAAAGAATATCAAATCATCACTACCACACAAAGCTCCTATGCGGAAATGTCGACGAAAACTGAAATGGTACATCATCTGTAATTAAAGCATATGGCGTCATAGCGACCTGCCATAGTAGGATGACATATGTATGCATTAATAATGGCGTGCACAAGTGCATTCGAGTGTACTACGACGAGAAATGTACATTAAATGCATTGTTTGTTCAACAGGTTGAATCAAAAATATTGTGCATAAGCAGTATAGAAAGAGATAAGGGGGGGGGGGGGCAATAGTAGACTGGCAAGAATAACATTGTTTGATCATCATAACCTTCATTTTAATAACCATAACTTTTTTTTGTTACCGTTCAAGGTAATAATCTCGTTCGTTTATCTGTCCGTTTAAAAAAACAATACATATATTTCAGTAGCCTACTAAAAAATAACACCCATGGCCTAGGGAATAGTATTTATTTGCATGTGCACCCAATTATCGTACAATAGGAGGTAAAATATCATTATAGCATGATTTTTCTACTCTATGATTTGCATGAGCTATGAAATCATCCTTTGATCATAGTAAAATAACGCGTGAGAGCCATTTTTGTTTGTGTGCAAATGTGGCGGCCTCGCAGACTTTAGTTCTCCTATACCGTGTGAGTAAAAAAAAAAGTTTACACCTAGAAAATTGCTAATTAATTTAAAAATCATCCATGAACATTAAATTATTATGCATCTTATGAAAGAGTATTTTATCCCAAATAATTTGGTATCATTTCTTGTGGTATGTGTTCACGCTTGGATGAACAGGAGGCAGGCGCGGATCCAGAATTTCTTGGGGGGGGGCCCACTTTTTTTTTTTGGGGGGGGGGGTCCGAAAAAAATCGTAACGACTCAGCCAGCCGCTAAATAAGCGGGGGGGGGGGGGGGGGGGTGGAGGGAGAGGACACTTTTTTTTTTTGGTCTCGAAATTTGAAAATTTGACATTTTGTTCCGTTGGGGGGGGGTGAGGTCACCTTTTTTAGGTCAGCCATTGGCATATTTTTTTTTTTTTTTTTTTTAATTAAAAAAAAAAAAAAAAAAAAAATCACAGAAAAGGGGTGGGGGTTTCTCCAAAATACACACATAAAAAACCGAAGGGAGGGTCAACCCCCTAACCCCCTCCCCCCCCCCCCCCTTCCGTACGTGCCTACTCGTCTGAAAATAGTTTTTCCCGTCCCGCGCAAAGCGCGGAAGCTTTTACGTTTCATTAAATCATTAGAAAAAGAAGACGATTCGTTGTACAGTTTTTATGCCTCCGTTACGAAGTAGCCAGAGGCATTATGTTTTCGGGTTGTCCGTCCGTACGTACGTTCTTGTGATCGCGTTATCTGAAGAACCGATCGATGGATAACTGCCAAACTTTGGTCATGTATGTATCTTGCAGAGCCGATGAACTGATTAGATTTTGGAGTCACGAGGTCAAAGGTCAAAGGTCACAGGGCTCATTAGGTATGCAAAAACAGCTCGTGATCGCGTTATCTAAAGAACCGATTGATGGATTCCTGCCAAACTTTGGTCATGTATGTTACTTGCAGAGCCGATGAACTGATTAGATTTAGGGGTCATGAGGTCAAAGGTCAAAGGCCACAGCACACATTATGTATGCAAAAACAGCTTGTGATCGTGTTATCTCAAGAACCGATTGATGGATTCCTGCCAAAATTAGGTCATGTATGTTACTTGCAGAGCCAATGAACTGAGTAGATTCTTGGTTCATAAGGTCAAAGGTCAAAGATCATGGGCTCATTATGTATGCAAAAATAGCTTGTGAACGCATTCTCATTAGAACTGACAGATGGATTACTATTTAACTCAGGACATCTTGCAGAGCCAATAAACTGAGTAGATTTTAGGGTCATGAGGTCAAAGATCAAAGGATCATATATGTATATGAGAAATTGCTTGTAATCACGATATTCTGAGAACCTGTCAATGGATTACAATTGAACTTGAATTCGAAAAATGTCTTCTGTTTTGGTTTGTAAAATTGCTCTATGACGGAGGCATCATTTTCGACTGCGCGCAGTCGAATTCCATCTAGTTTACTCTTAATCCTCGTCTTAATTCATCCCCCTCTCCCGCGCAAAGCTCGGAAGCTTTTACGTTTCATTAAATCATTAGAGACAGAAGACGATTCGTTGTACCGTTCTTGACTCTTAATCCTCATCTGAATTCAGTTTTCCCCTCCTCCCTCCCGCGCGAAGCGCGGAAGCTTGTACGTTTCATTAAATCAATAGAGAAAAAAGACGATTCGTTGTACCGTTCTCGAAAATAATCCTCGTCTGAATACAGCTTTTACGTTTCATTAAATCATTAGCGAAATAAAACGATTCGTAGTACCGTTCCCGAAAATTATCCTCGTCTGAATTAATTCCCCCCTGCCCTCCCCCGCGCGTAGCGCGGAAGCTTTGACGTTTCATTAATTCATTAGAGAAAGAAGACGATTTGTTGTACCGTTCTCGACTTTTAATTCTTGTCTGAATTTCAAATATGTTCTTTGTCTATTCCCTTTTCTTCCTACGTCCTCTTCCTTTACACTCCTCTCTTTTTTGGCCGGTGTTTATTGGGGGAACACCCCACCGCCCCCCTGGCTACGCGCCTGCTGTCAGATGAACATATGTTGATACCTTGTCCGCCCCGGAAGCTCAGGGGTTTAAGGTTTTAATTTATGGTCAGATTAGCATTCAGGGGTCCGCCTTAGCGCCCTAGACGGGGTCCAGGGGAAGAGACCCGGAAGTTCAGGAGTTTAGGCATTTAATTACGGTCAGATGAGCATTATTTTGATACCTAATTGTTACAATGGCAGGTCACTAATTGGCTTGGGGTTCAGGGGGCGGAGCCCCGTAATCTCAAGGGTTTTAGACACTCAATTACTGTCAGATGAGTATCGAGGGGCCCGCCTAAGGGCTCTTGGTTGGGTCCAGGGGGCAGAGCCCCAGAAGCTCAGGGGTTATAGGCGTTTAATTACGGTCAGATGAAAATTGTTGATACCTTATAATTTGTGACACTAGCAGGACACTATTTTGCGTGGGGTCCAGGGGGCAGAGCCCCCAGAAATCAGGGGTTTTAGGCATTAAATGACCGTCATATGAGCATCTAAGGGCCCGCCTTAGGGCCCTAGGTGGAATCCAGGGGGAGAGCCCTTAGGATTTTAGGCATTAATTTTAATCATGGTCAGATGAGCATATTTTGATATCCCATTATAATGTGACACTGGCAGTTAACTTTTTTTTTCTTTCTCGCTCTCTTTCTTTCTATTTCTCTTTAATATACTTTTCCAAAGAAAGTGTGGGGAGGGGCTCGAGGATCCCGATACCCGCCGTTCCGCGGGCCCTGATATGTAGGCATCTCAAGAAGCATTTTCTTGGCCGTAAATTAAGGAATTTGTCTTTTTCCAACAAACGCATGAAGTGAGGAAAAATTATCTCATTTCAACATTATTTGTTAACCACCGTTATGGAATTATAAATAAACCACGTTTGAAGTCTATTTCTCCAACCCCCCCCCTCCCCTATCAGTATGCCAGTGCCCCCCGCCCCCCCCCCCCCCCCTCCGATCTACACCTTGTTGGCGGGAAAATTGCAACTGATATCCCTTACCTTTCTTCATTCTCTTTTTTTTCCTTTCCCTTTCTCTCCTCTTTCACTTTCCCTTCCTTATCTCTCTTTTGGGTTTGCTGGGGGGGGGGGGGAGGGGCACGGTCATTTTGGTCCCCAACCCGCTCCACACATTGTTGGCGGGATTAACCGCAACTGATCTCCGCTTCTTTTGTCCCTTTTCTTTTTTCTTCCTCTTTTTGTTCCCTTTTAGCTCTCCTCTTTTTCTTCTCCTTCCTTCTCTCTTTTTTTAGCGGGGATGGGGGGAGAGGGGAGGTTAGGGTCTTTCCCCCCCCCCCTCGATCCACAACTTGTTGGCGGGAAAATTGCAACTGATATCCCCCTTCTTTTCTTTTCTTCTTCCTATTTTGTCCTTCCCTTTATCTCCTCTTTATCTTTTTTCTTACCTTTTCCTTTCCTTTCTCTTTTATTTTTTTATTTGGGGGGGGGAAGGGGGGAGGCAAGTCCTTCCCCCCCCCCCGATCTCCTTCCCTCTTTTCTTTTCTTCTTCCTCTTCCTTTTTTTACCTTTCTTTCCTCTTTCCCTTCTTTTCCTTCTCTCTCTCTCCTTTTTTTTTGCGGGGGGGGGGGGGGCCAAGGCACGCTCGGACCCCCCTGGATCCGCGCCTGACAGGAGGCATTGTTTGCGAGAGTGCAAAAATCGACTTGCGCCAAAGTGATGCCTACAGCATGTTTTATATTGGGATTAGCGGATTGAGAAAATGAATTGAATGTATCAAATGAGATGCATATGCACTTTGCAGAAGCAAAGTCACACACGCAAACACACACACACACACACGCTTAAATGTTCGTTGATATTGGATATTTGATATGTGTGGTATAACCAATTTTGTTAGGGATTTTATTTGGATCTGCAAAGACCGAATTAATACCCAAATCCCACTTGTTTTATTCAAGCATCACATAAGCAATTTTGGCGCAAGTCGATTTTTGCTAACATGAAAGATGAATTTCAAATGCCAAAGATGTCGACAAATCCCCATAATTCTCCTTTTCTGTAACCAATGTGAAGTGACTAGCATTCATACACCGATATCGATATATATTTAACAAACATTGATTTCCAATCAATATAAACAACATATTTTCTTTTTTATGAGTTGAAAGGTTAACGGAGCAAGCAAAGAATTCATTCGTGTACAGTACGAAAAATGCGAAATGCCTAAAATAGAAATCTCTAGTAGAAAAATAAGCCAAACCCTACACAATTAAAAGATTGCCGAAATGGTGCTGATATGACTCTGTACTGAATAATTTTAATGAAAAGTCACACAGCAGATTATCATTCAGAATAGCACCAGTATTTTAATCAGTTATAATGGAGTGAGCATTGTTTTCGGCACAATGTAATGCTTATATTGTCCCAAATCTACATAATGGAATACATGAGTATACCTATTTTAATTTGTAATTTCATAGGTTTCAAGATTTACAAGCTTACCCTACAACATGACCCTTTTGAACTTTCCCATCAAAAAATATTACAGATAAATCACGACGACCTTTGAAAAGTACTATAAAAGGGAAGTAATCATTTTGTTTTAACTCATTGGAAGTGTATATACTGTACGAGAACGGAATAAGTATGGTTGTATATTATATCATAAATTGGATGATTTTCATTCACAACCAACAAAAATATTCAATACGTAATTCACATTCCGGCTCTATCCTCTTTTGCTTATGTTATTTATGACTCCCTGATCGATATTGCGTATTTTCTGAAAATGGATACAACCACACAAGCTGGATCCTCACCATTAACACCTCTGTGTACCGAATATGCACCCATCAACAAAATGGCGACTTCAAGTACAATTAGAAATGATAATGATCTCATGATTTGAATCATATCAGCAGTAAGAACATGCTACACAGCATTCAATAATACTATTCCTGTCCAAACAAACCCCAATTTAAATTGTGCTGGAACTATCGCGCTAATGAATGAAAAACAAATTAGACTTACCTTGATTGTCTGTTTAAAATGTCTGCCTCAAACCAAGTTCTTTAATGATGCTGTATAATCGCACGCACTACTTTTATCTTACTGCGGGTGGTAATTACAATAGAAAAATGGATCTGGGTTGGGTATCGAGTGACATATCCTGCGGAGTGAGTGGTTTTATTCTGACTCATTCAAGTTTCGTGTATATGTATGATCGAAGTGTAGTCCAGCCTCTGTACCGTTTCCGTTTAGCATACCCATCAGCTGATAAAATTACACCCTCAACGTTGAAAGTAGGCCTAGCCATTCCTCTAAATCTGGACCTCGAATACGTGTAGACGGAAATTTGGGGATTGCGCGATCAGTGGTCAGATACCGCGCTGTGTGTGCATATAGATGCATGTGATAGAAGAATAAAAACAAAGAACGCCTGAATCTGGACTATATGAAGTGTTGCAATCGATGATCTTCTCCACACCCACCAACCCCCTCCCCCCCCCCACTCTCTCTCTCTCTCTTTCTCTCCCCTCTCTATCTATCCCTCTCTTTCTCTCTCCTTCTTTCTTGTCTCTATTCCTCTGTCTTTATTGGTCTCTCACTCTATCTTTTTCTCTCTTATTCTCTTGTACTCTATTTCTACATACCATTCCTCTATTTCTCTTGACATGTGTGTGTTTGTGTGTGTGTGTGTGTGTGTGTGTGTGTGCGTGCGTGCGTGCACCCATGGTGGAAAACGCGACCACATATAGGACCTTCATGGCGAGGACAGACAGCGAAGTGCGGACGTCCTCGTTTCTCCGAGGACGTCCTCGTCCAGGGGCGTAAATCCCGGGGATGGGGGCTGCATCCCCCCTGGTTTGAAGTAGGGGGGATGGCCTCTACAATCATCCCCCCTGATATTACAACAACAAAAAAGAGGGAAAAAAGGAAGAAGAAGAAGAAGAAAAAATGTGATTATTTCAATTGCAGCATAATGCATGAGAAATGAGTTATTTTGTTTATGTATAGCTTACACGTATACATTATGTCACGATAAGGAAACGTCAAGGCTTCCGCGCTTCGCGCGAGAGGGGGAAACTGAATTCAGATAAATAGGGCTTATTAAAAGTCGAAAACGGTGCAACGAATCGTCTTCTTTCTATAATAATTAAATCAAACGTCTAAGCTTTTCGCGCTTCGCGCGGGAAGGGGAAACTGAATTCAGACGAGAATTAAGAGTCGAAAACAGTACACTCAATCGTCTGCTTTCTCTAATAGTTTAAGGAAACGTCAAGGCTTCCGCGCTTCGCGCGAGAGGGGGAAACTGAATTCAGATAAATATGGCTTATTAAGAGTCGAAAACAGTGCAACAAATGGTCTTCTTTCTATAATAATTAAATCAAACGTCTAAGCTTTTCGCGCGGGAAGGGGAAACTGAATTCAGAAGAGAATTAAGAGTCGAGAACAGTACACCCAATCGTCTGCTTTCTCTAATAATTTAATGAAACGTCATAACTTCCGCGCTTTGCGCGGGAGGGGTTAACCGAATTCAGACAAAGATTAAGAGTCGTGCACGGTTTAACAAATCGTCTACTTTCTCTTATAATTTAATGAAACGCCAAAACTTCCGCGCGGGAAGGGGGGGCCGGAGGGGGGGGGCCGGAGGGGGAACTGAATTCAGACAAAGATTTACAGTCGAAAACAGTACACTCAATCGTCTGCTTTCTCTAATAGTTTAAGGAAACGTCAAGGCTTCCGCGCTTCGCGCGAGAGGGGGAAACTGAATTCAGATAAATAGGGCTTATTAAGAGTCGAAAACGGTGCAACGAATCGTCTTCTTCCTATGATAATTAAATCGAACGTATAAGCTTTTCGCGCTTCGCGCGGAAAAGGGAAACAGAATTCAGACGGGAATTAAGAGTCGAGAACAGTACACCCAATCGTCTGCTTTCTCTAATAATTTAAGGAAACGTCAAGGCTTCCGCGCTTCGCACGAGAGGGGGAAACTGAATGCAGATAAATATGGCTTATTATTGAGTCGAAAACGGTGCAACGAATCGTCTTCTTTCTATAATAATTAAATCAAACGTCTAAGCTTTTCGCGCTTCGCGCGGGAAAGGGAAACTGAATTCAGACGAGAATTAAGAGTCAACAGTTCACCCAATCGTCTGCTTTCTCTAATAATTTAAGGAAACGTCAAGGCTTCCGCGCTTCGCGCGAGAGGGGGAAACTGAATTCAGATAAATAGGGCTTATTAAGAGTCGAAAACGGTACAACGAATCGTCTGCTTTCTCTAATAATTTAATGAAACGTCATAACTTCCGCGCTTTGTGCGGGAGGGGTAAACCGAATTCAGACAAAGATTAAGAGTCGAGCACGGTTTAACAAATCGTCTACTTTCTCTTATAATTTAATAAAACGCCAAAACTTCCGCGCGGGAGGGGGGGGGGAGGGGGGAAACTGAATTCAGACAAGGATTTACAGTCGAGAACGGTACAGCAAATCGTCTCCTTTTTATAATAATTTAATGAAACACCAAAGCTTTCGCGCTTCGCGCGGGAGTAGGGGGGGATTCATTCAGACAAGGGTTAACAGTAGAGAACGGTACAATAAATCGTCTTCTTTTACTAATAATTTAAGGAAACGTCTAAGCTTAGGTAGGCCTATCACCCACATACCCCTAATGAGCGAGTGCGTGTGTGTGTGTGTGTGTGTGTGTGTTTGTGCGTACGCGATCGCGCGCGCTTGCGTAAATTAGTGTGGGCGTGTGCTCCTGCTAGTATGTGATGGCTATCGCCGATCATCCCCCCCCCCCCCCACTCCTCGGTACGGATTTACGCCCCTGTCCTCGTCGGTCCCAAAATTCAAAGAGAGTACTCAAGGATCATTTTTTATGACTTGTATAATCCTAATACACTGAAAAGAGAAAAGTCATCAATTAAGTGGTTTAGTTCCTACGGAGCGTGTTACTTATACACAATCTGCAAGGACTTCAAGTTTCGCCAAAAAAAATGTGTGTGTGAACCTCGGGGCCCTAGTCCCAAGTTGTGCACTGCCCTGCACATTACATGAAACACAAGTCCCAGCATGCAGCATGTTACGCGCCATCACTGCGCGCTACTCTAGTGCAACAGGCAAGCCCACTGCCGGTCCTGACGTGGTCTGCTTGAAATAAGTAGGGACTTTTAGATTTGCACGTCGACAGCTTTGACTGCAACGTGTGGCGTCATTTTAAAGCACTGCGCATGCGTCACGTCGTCTCAGTCGGCGATCGAGAATGCGTCAACCTTGATTTTCCTAAATCTAGTACCGCGTGCGCATAAAATGTACAGTTCCTCAGGCAGACAAAGAAAAATCCCTTCCCTGCTATTATCTAAACATGTGTAGAACAGGTGTCACATACATATTCACCTGTTCTAAACATTTTTACATAATAGCAGTGAAGAAATGTTCTTTTGTCTACCACAGCAATTGTTGAGGGTAGAATGAGGAACTGTATATTTTATCCTCTTTCTTTGTCCGTCATGTTCATGTTCATTTACTTCCTGCATGCATGTATATCGTCAAGTGCAATTTAAAAGATGTATAATTGTAGTCAACATGGGCAGTTGAGTACGTTGACACGCATGATCAGTCGGCGTTCGTCGTGTTCTCGTCCACTCAATCTAAAGGTCCCTAGTGTCTCACACCCCTGGGCTTGCCATGGCGACGAGGATGTTGAAGAGGAGGTTGGAAGGCAATCACAGCAATGTAAGTACCATGTTATAACGTCATGCGAATAGATGATATTATGTGGTTAAGCTTGTTTTCCTAAACTTTGTTTTGCCGATCGAGTTTTTCATCTCCGGCCAAGTTGAAGGTAGCTCCCTTTTAAGTGGTCCCAAAAACCCTAATTCATGTAATACATAGTCATGGAGTCTAAATAAATTCTTAAGACTATAAGTATATGAAGGGAAGTTATAAGACCATCATGAACTGTTTTTTCTCGGGTATTTATTGGTTTGAAGAGAATAGCAGATATAGCCTTATTAATTAAGTACATGTTTTGTTTTGTTTCATTTTGATTAACTGCACTAGATCTATCTTTAATCAAACTGCATGAGCCCATATTTGTTGCTTATTGTTTCTTGATACACATGAAATTTTTGTCATTTGTAATGAATATCTGTAAGACAGTGACATCAATTTCCTTCGAAAGTGTCTACTTTGCAGTTCACACACAAGCTTACTTTTTCCCTTTGATTAATTTATCAGATAAAAGTTTTCCAAAGGGTCTATTTTTTGTCTCAAAGAACCTACAAATATAAGTTTTGTTGCCATCACATGCGCATAACGATAAATTCATTTTTATTTTATTTTAAGTGTTAAAGGTAAAATATTTATTCTTTTATATTCATAATTGTAATGGATTATATTACGGTGGCGTGGTTGTTGACATCAGGGATGGTAAGTTCATACTTAAGGATGTTTATCTTAGAAGGTAGCGATTAATGCCAACTATCAACAGTTAATTCGGTTGTTTATTAGTACCTGCAAAAAGAATACCCTAGCTTGAATAGTGCAATAATTAAATTAGAGCAAACGTGTGTGTTCATGAGTTCAAGAGTGATTTTTAATCTATATATCAAAATATGTATTGTTATCAGAAGTTTTTGTCCCCCTCCCCCCTTCCCCGTTATTTTTGTATTATTTATATTTTTCAGCTGATCAATGTAAAACATTGCATAACATTTAAATTGAGGAGGATGTGTTTTGAGTACTGCTACTTTTGAAACATATTTATTTCTGTTGATTTAATGAACAGGCTGAGAAGCTTCAAAGGCAAATAGAGGTACATATTCCACCGATTGTAATTAATATTCTTATATAAAAGCGGAATAATTAAACGGCTTTTTATGATTGATGTGGTGAGAAAGAAACTAACAGATTTCTTCATATAAAGATTGCTATGTTTGTAATAGGATCCATATATGTATGGCAGTCCAATCATTCATTCACGTTTTTCCATAAACATAAAGAAAAACAAGGCTTTTGAAGTCAAGCGCTTAATAAGTAATCACTAGGTACATTGCATAATGTTGCCCAGATATGACTTGGTTCACTAGCCCTGGAAACTGCTTTTGTTTGAGGGGGGATTCAGAACCAATAAAGACGCATCCCTCTGTCATAAAGCTTAGCA